GGCGCCATATTGTGACGAAGTAAAAAAAATAAGTTGACAAAATATGTCGAGTGGGGTATCACTGTCTAGATAATCAAAAATCATATATAGGTTCCTAACACCATTTTTCATTTTATATGATTGTTTAGGATCTACAACGCTTTAAATTTCAATCTTACGTTTGTATGGATCTTTGTTACTCTTTCACCTAAAAAATACTGAATGGATTTCAATGAAACTTAACAGTAATATAGCTCATATATGATAATTACATATATATAATAATTTATGTAGTTATTGAATTGGCCAATATATAGCAATAAGTGTCACATGAGACGGAAAAAAATGTCCCATCTGCGAGCCATTTTGGCCTGCACTGCAAAAACAATAAAAGTTACATGAATATAATGTAGAGTAAAAATGTATCTCTTAAATAGTTCTAAAAAAAGTCCGTAACACCATATATTTATTTTTAATGTGTAAGTCATTACCGCTAAAATAGTGAATCAAAACTAAAATATTATTTGATATCTTTTTCCAAAATGCACATTTTGTATTAACTAATCATTTTTTATCAAAACAAATACTTTAATCGCTTTTGATATTTAAAGATGATAAACTTTGCTTTTTACACTATGTCAATTCGACAAATATTTAAAAAGTTACAACGATGACAAAGTGACAGCGCGGTGTACTATGTAAAAGAAAAAAAAATGGGGTATTCGCAGTATCTGATCCTATACGAAGTACTAACATTAAAACTGTGATACAGTTCCTTCTTATTAAATGATGAAAAATATATTATCATAGTATTGCGATGTTGTAGCTAAGAACCAAGTGCCCATCTACTTCTATATGGGAATTTATTATATTCGATTTAGCTATTGGGGCACGGAAGCGCAACAAACAAACTCACTTTCGCATCTATAATATTATATTATACTTACTAGTGATCCACCCGGGCATTGTACGGGCGAAATTAATTTATCGGGATAAAATATAGCCTATGTCATTTAGACAAAATGTATTTAAATAAAGAAAAATGTTATAATAAATAATGTAGCTACCTTATGATGAATTAATATTTGAAACTGGTTCAGTAGTTTGACAGATTATTTGTTACAAACATACAAATCTTGCCTCTTTATAATATTAGTATAGATAGTTACGATAAGATAAGTATTTAATTGATGAAAAAGATTTAAAAATAAAGTAAGTAATAGGTTTATTTGATTATATTTGTAAAAGTTACTTAACATTTGTGCTTAACAGTGATAGGTTATTCGGTATTTTTATAACAAAAAAAAATTGGAAAATAATTGCCATGATTACACTACTGGGAGTACTCTTCATTCGAGCTTTACACTACCAATAAAAAAGGGTCGAACACAAAGTCTTTGACCTGTTAAAGATGAACGCTTTAAAAGAAAACTACAAAGAGAACTATAAATTGATAATAAATGAGATTGCTATGGTGCTCTACCTAACGTTATGAAAATTTTATTATGCGCCTTTAGTTTAATCAAATATTATAAACTTTGCTTTGGTGATTGCATAATTATTTAATTTAGTGATCTAAGGCAGTTGCCACCATTGTCCAAAACAACAGACGGGAATTACTTCTTTCTTCAACCTGCGACATAAACGTCATTGATTGGTATTGTATATAGGGTGATTAAAAACATTTGAAGTTAACTTCTGGCATCTACATATTGGGTTTCTGTGAATTATGTAGGTATATCAAATTATGACACTAGGGACTGACACTGAATTTGTGTATATCACAATCTTAGACGTCCGGCATTGACATGACAATGCAGCCACTGCCAATTTTAAATAGTCGACGAATAAAAGTAAATGAATTTTTTATTTACTGCTAAACTATTAAAAAAAACATAAACAAAAGATGACTTTTTGAGTAAGTGCTAGTTTACTATAAAATTTACAGACATTAGAGATATTTATATAACGACTTGATTTAACTTCACACGTTTTTGCGAAAATTGAGGCCCATCTGTAGCCTTGACCCCGCGGGTAAAGTCTTTATATGTCTTAATAAATCAATCTTTTAGACCGACGCAAGGTACTTAATAATTCCCGCGATATTAATTCCCTTACTGAAGTAACAAGACTACGGTATATACCGTCTTATAATACTAACTAAAAAGTGTGAAATAAAAAAGGTAAATTTAAAAAATCAAAAAACCCGACTGCTTAATTATTCTTCAAATACAAACTGAAAAGAAAAAAACAAGTCCAGTAGTCTATAATTCTGTTAATAAGGAACAAAGCTACTTTAACAGTCGGGACCCACTGCTGCAAAATATTATGTATTCTTGAATATCTAATGGGTCCCGACTGTTAAAGTAGCTTTGTTCCTTATTGACAGAATTATAGACTACTGGACTTGTTTTTTTCTTTTCAGTTTGTATTTGAAGAATAATTAAGCAGTCGGGTTTTTTGATTTTTTAAATTTACCTTTTTTTTCACCCGTAGTAATGCAGCTACAAATCTCGTTATTTATCCGACATAAATCTCGTAAATAATAGTACGAAATGTGTACGTTCTCTGGTTCCCATACCTCGTACTCGTACGGAAGACTAGAAATCTTGTACGGTTGGTAAACATGCTGATGCCTGCATACATAGACATAAGTAGTATCCAAAGAACTTTTAAACAAACTTAAAAAATAACGAAAAAAATATAACTCGAACACTACGAAAAATCGTAGAACATACATGGGGGTTAAATTGATAGGTATAGCACTCCGCTATCAGCTCGCACTGGCTTGACACCCAAAAAAAAACCACCCTTTAAATAAGTTCCTTGGTAGTATCTTAAGGACGGAGCCATGCACTAGCATCACTATATAGTTAGTGGACGAAGCCTGATGTTTGACAGTCTTAATGACCGTTGGAACTGTTTTCCATGCATCTTTGTCTTGCTCATAGATATAGTAAGTATCCTCTACACGTCGCGTCGGCGGATATATCCGTGGAAGTCGCCAGGTTGTTCGTCGTTGGAGCAAAAACAATTTTATTTCACGGGTTGCAATACAAGTCCTTTCAGTCAAACTGTCAAATCATGCAATGGTGGCGATTTTAGCACGATTCTCTAAACTTTAAACTACTTAAGTCGAGGCCTATGCCTGTCTTTGCTAAAGTTAGTCGTCTGAATAGTAGTAAAAAAATATATAATAATACTAGGTCTGTGTCTTGAACGCAATATTTTTCGCGGCGCGGTTAGCGCGTTCGGCTGTGATCGTTGAAATTAAGCAACTTTCGCAGTGGTCGACCATTGGATGGGTGACCAAAAATCTTCTATCTCGAGTTCCTCCGTGCTTCGGAAGGCACGCTAAGCCGTTGGTCCCGGCTGCATCTGCAGTCGTTAGCACCCGCCAATCCGCACTGGGCCCGCGTGGTGGGTCATGGTCCAAACTCCCTATTCCATCCTAGGGAAGGCCTGTGCCCCAGCAGTGGGGATATTAATAGGCTGATGATGATTGGCCGAGGCTTTACGAATAAAAAAATAATTGAACCTTATACTGATAGAGATAGGTACGAAAAAGTCTGTGAATTTGGTTTTTCAGATTCTTTTTAGGATATTTATTCTAGCGCGATTTTACTCTACTTTTACCACATGACTTGAGAAACGTACAGTCAGTAATAATGCATGGGCTTGGATAAACATTTTTTTTTGTTGAATTTTATGGTACAAAACAGGTGTAATTATTTAATATTTTTGATGTGAAATATCTTTTGACGTACGTAAAACCGATTTCTGGCGTGGTGCTCAACTACTCGCCGATCAACTACATCCCGAGCAATTCTCCGAGTGTATTTATCATACGCCGCCCAGTGTTTCACATCTGCCAGGCGTCCCGTGACGGCTCACATTTTTTTTATTAGGAAATATTAACTCGATTATCTCATATCAAAGACCGAACTATTAAATAACAATACACAATGGTGTCAATTCTGGCATGATTCTCTAAACCTAAATTTGACAATAGTGTATCCTTGTTATTATCTATACAAAATGAAAAGAAGAGACTGATGTTAAATTTAGCTTTAAGTTTAGAGAATCATGCCAGAATCGACTCCAATTTGTATACATATTTGTTGATTTTTTCCACTCTACTCTTTTCAGGGAAAGCAAAGGGAATAATGCCCATACAGCCTCATTTTTTTAATTGACAACATTTGGTTCGAGATGACAACATTTTAAGCCAACATTGACATCTTTTGCGGTGCAAGCTCTGGCAACACTGCTTAGAAGTCTGTGAAAGGAACAGAATGTTACTGACATTTACTGATGACTCAAAATAACATGCGATTCAAATAAGAATAGGACCGTCTGGGCGCCATATTGTATTCTCATAGCTGTCAATTCAAACCAAATAGGTAGAGTGAACAAAAAAAAAATATTTAATAAAACTTGTACAATCTAGTTCTTCTATTCCGCACATCTCTGCATTACCGCCGGAGTAGTTATGAATAATCATGCACTATTACTAGGTCAAATACGAACATGCATCCTTTAAGTAAACGAAAGTTTGAAATCGAGTTTGTGAACGCAACTTAAACTGACATTTGGTTGACGATTTAGGTTTAGGTTATCAACCATTCATGGCCAAAGCTCAATAAGTGAAAAAAAAAATATCTACCGATATTAATTATCAATATTTGTTATTGTTTGTTTACAAATGTTTGGTGTTTATTCTAGAATTGTCGGAGTGCTAAAAAAGGGTTCCAAGTTTTTTTGCAAACTGTACTTTTCAAGTGACATTTGACAGATAGTTGTCATTGGCTTTCCTATTCTTATTTGAATCGCATTTTAACTAGGAGAATTCCAATTTATGTAGCCTAATATTGTTCTAGAACTCGAAAATACAATTAAACAGCTTAGCTCTAGATTTGAATTAATGATCTTTGTTTTTGGACAAAAGATGAAAGTGTTGCATATTATTTTATAACCTTACATATTTTATAAAAATACGTTGTTTTACTACAAACAATATAATGTTGAAACAGTGTGTGTTATGTCGGAGATTTATTACTCGTACCCTGCTGAAATCTTATAGCGGTCGGTCAAAAGGATCTCTAGCTGATGGAAATGTGACTCCTCTTCGGCGACTATTAGAAGATGCCAGCGGCTTTGGGGAGATGGAAGCGAAGGATCCAGAGCTACAATGGGCCACAGAACCATACGCAGTGAAACCTGGCGAAACACAGTCGGAAACACCATACGTAGACCCAAAAGAAACAACTGTTTTACTGTTCCCAGGGCAGGGCTCGCAATGGGTGGGCATGGGCAAAGAATTGGAAAAGATACCGGCCGCACGTGATTTATATGAATTGGCCTCCAGTGTTGTCGGGTAAGATTATTTTCAAGGTTTGTTTTAAAGAGACTGTGTAGTATGGAAAATAAAAGTTCAGTAAAAAAAATATGGAAACATTTTTATCACCTAGATATTGCTATTAACCCATTCTCATATCTACTTCATAAATTGGTGGTTGGAGGGGTTTGATAACAGACAATTTTAAATACAGTGTAAACTCCATGTAACGTCACTGGATTAAACAACAAACTACCTCAAGCATCGAAATCACTCTTTGGTTGGTTTACTTTGTTTTCCATACAATGATACACTCCATAGAGCGTTACACCCACTCTCAATAACGACAATAACTAAGTAATAAAAAGTACCTATTAAGTTACCAAAATTATTTAAATTGAGATTTATTATCCTAGCTTGTAATAAACACAATAACGACTGCCGGCATCATGCAAACCAAACTCACTGAGAAATTCTTTCTTTTGTTAACAAATTGGTATTGCACATGTAGAATGTTGTCGGCCATGATGAAAAAAAATGAAGTACAACAAAATTACCCGTGCAGCAAAAGACGTCAGACAAAAATAACAGAATATAAGCAATAGTGTTCAAATCAGATTATTATTTCATGTACTAGCGTGAAATAAACTTTTTTTTTCATAATTCTGATTTTTGTTCTTTCCATTTATTAAAAATTCTCTATAACGCCATAAAATTTAAAGTCTCTTCAGTGTCGTCATATAGAGTTCACACCGTATATTAAATTTTTAAGTTTTGCAGAAATTAAACGTGCCTCAAATTTCAAAACATACTTAAAACTGCTTTTCGATATCATCAAATCATATATATATATGATAGTATAACGCCTCGCCTCGCTCGCGGTCACTCGCATGGTGATCGATCCGTCTAACGTCGGTCGCAGGTGGGACGTGGCGCGCGTGTGTCGCGACGGCCCCTCCTCGGAGCTGACGCGGCGCTGCCAGACGGCGGTGCTGGTGACGTCGCTGGCGGCGCTGGAGCGCGCGCGGGAGGAGCGGCCGGCGGCGGTGGAGCGCGCGCGCGCCGCGGCCGGCTTCTCGCTGGGGGAGATCACCGCGCTCGTGTACGCGGCCGCGCTGCCCCTCGACGCCGCGCTGCGGCTGGTGGAGCTGCGCGCCGCCGCCATGCGGGCCTGCGCCCAAGAGCGCCGAGGGGGCATGCTCACGCTGTGGCTGGCGCCCGACGCCGACCTGCCGCGCCTGCTGCGGGCCGCGCGCGACCACGCCGGCACCGGCACACCCGACCCCGTGTGCCAGGTCGCCAACTACATGTACCCCGGCTGCAAGGTCATCGCCGGCGACGAGGAGGTCGGTGTGGGACATTGTCCCGCAAATATAAATTCTTAATGTTTCCGATATACCACCGAGTTAAAGCTTGTTATTTTTTGAGTTGATAGTCTACATTATTAGCTACGTTTTGAACTAAATTATAAGCTTTAATATTGCATATCATGAGCACAAAAAATTAAAAACTAAAATCACTAAATCGCCGATTTCTCGGTTCCTACAAGCTCTAGGGCAGCCATGGAAGACTCATATTATATGGATAAAAATAATACCTTTTGAAATACAATGTAAAAAATAAAATAACTGTAATAGTTTAGACAAAAAATTTTTTTTATTTCTTTTTCACAATGTGGTACAAAAAAAGGAAAACCAGGATTTCGTCGAAACTATTATAGTTAGAATCGTGGGAGTTTTACTCCTGCGCTTAGAATGAAGAGCTTTATCTGATTCACCTTTAATCAAGGGAATGGTAATTTTGAGGTGAAATAACACAATGTGCGTAAGTAAAAAATACTTACATTGTGATTACTATTCAATATTTAATTTTGTAGGAGAAATGGTATTACTGTATCCCACAAGGGTGGAAGTACACGTATACTATTATCAAGACGCTAAGACGTCCCACGTGGTGGAAGCGTATAGCGTGCAAGACAATAGGCCCTACCTACGAAGCGATGACTTGGTCAATTTCCTAAGAACACCTTATACAAATGGTGTCAGTATAGTATAGCACGATTCACATGCGTACAGCGCCATCTAGTAGCGGTCGGCGTGATGATATTTGATCCTATGATGTGCCATACAATCGGTGTCGGTATAGGATAGTGCAATTCACATGCGTACAGCGCCATCTAGTAACGGGCGGCGTGATGATATTTAATAATACTATGGTGTTACAAAACTTATTTACTTAGATTAAATGAGAAAAACCATTAGTATATTGTTTTAAACTTTCATGGTCACCAACCATCATCAATCATCAAATCAAACTATCAGATTTTTCATATTTATAATATTTATCCACATGTTTCTAGTTTCTATATAGACACAACGCGTTTTAGTCACTTACAAGTGCTAATTACATATGGAGTAATAACTTAAATTCAGTAGTGATTTTAATTGAATATTTTGAATATTTATTTAATTTGGACACTGAAAACTGAACACTGAAAATTGAACTCAATCGACTGTGTCAACTATCCTTTTCCAATATTTTTATTATTTTATTGTAATTATTAATTATTTGCATGCAATTAAAGAATATTTTTAATGATGCTAAAGAAGTATAACTTCTCACGCGCGTACATAAGTTACACGCATCCATTTTTTTTATGCAATAATTGCGATATCGCTATCGGTGTGTTTAATAAAATAAATAATAAGATCGCGCCGCGCCAACGGCGAAGTCGGTCGAGAATTTTTACTCAATTTATAAATTCCGCAGGCGTTGAGATACGCGGAGAGGCACGGCGCGGCGCTGGGCGTGCGTCGGGCGGCGCGCGTGCGCGTGGAGGGCGCCTTCCACACGCCGCTCATGCGCGGCGCCGAGGACGCGCTGCGCGAGGCGTTGCGGCACGTGGAGGTGTCGGAACCGCGGCTGCGCGTGGTGTCGGCGGTGGACGCGCGCCCGTACCGCGACGCGGCGCACGTGCGGCGGCAGCTGGCGCGCCACGTGACGCGCCCGGTGCGCTGGGAGCAGGCGCTGCACGCGCTCTACGCGCGGCCCCGCGACCACGCGCTGCCCCTCACGCTCACGCTGGGGCCCGGCAACACCACGCGCGCCACGCTGCGGCAGGTCAACGCGCGCGCCTGGGACGCCTCCCTCAACATCGACGTCTGATGCCCGCGCCCGCGCCCGCGCCCGCTCACATTCGACCGGACGCGTATATCCAATTGTATGGAAACCGAGCGTCCCAGGGGGTCTCCTCTCTTTCTCCGAAATGAAGGTTCGGAAACTGAGTTCGAACGAAAAGGTGTTACGATATTGGTCAAAATTGGTAATTTTCAAATCCTTTTTTCGTTAAATTATCTAGTTTGCCAAATACGTATAAATTACCTATGTTTTTTTATAAACTAATTTTCATTTTTTTTTAATTTATTATGTATAACTGCTTTAAAGGATTTAATTTTGAATTCATTCAGTTATCTATTATTTAGTTATCTATTGATTTATTTTATCGGACATTTTTTTTAATCACAGCTTCTCTTTTAATTCTTCTTAAATAAAGTATTTTTTTTAAAAACACATGTTCATAAAACAATATTATGTTTTGTTGTACTTTTACTCCTAATTTTTAGTGTCAATTCTCTACTGCGTTGGTTGTACATTGGCGTTTAGTTGTAGAAATATCATGTGAAAGGAAATTGCTGAAATTGACCCATTTTGACACTAATTCTTGGCGTAATTTATACTTTATTTTACAGTCATTAGATTTTAACGGACACTTTTGTATAATATATACATTTTAAAAAGAACTTTTAATTTTACCGATTTGAACAACATAGGAATCATTTTTAATGGCTGTAGTCAAAGACTGATCGAAGTTGTTTATATAACATCCAAACAAATCTATTTTGTAAAGATTGATAAAATAAATCATTTTTTTGTTACCCTGTGGTATTAATATCCACAACTATATTATCATTTTTGAAACGAAGTTCCTTACGGCAGGCTTGGAGGGGATAGGTATGCGCGCGAACTTGCTGCGCGACCGAACTGAAAAAAATGTGATAGTAAAACCGTAAGAAATAAAAGAAATGATGTGGTGTCGTGGGACATCAGGTAGGAACGAAGTTCCTTCGGCTAATGTAGAATCGACACAAATTGCAAACTCGCTTGTGTATGCGACTGTCGCGCCTGCGCACGTCTCATTTAACGGTTTTATTCCACGCACTTTTTTCCACGGATTTTTTCTTACGGTTTTACTATTACATTTTTATAGTTCGGCCGCGCAGCAAAATCCCTATCCCCTTCAAGCCTGCCGTAAGGAACTTCGTTCCAAAAATCCGTGGAATAAAGTGCGTGTGCTAAAAATATAAAATAATTATGATTATAATGTTAACATAACAAAAATAATGAATCTACTGAAGAAGACTGTATAACCTAAGGTTCTCAGGAGTGTATGTCAATAATATTCGTTTCTATAGTAATATAAATATAATTTCGAATCTAGGAAACAATTTTTCATGATTATTGGTCATAGGCCAAACATGTATGGAAGCTGAGTAATCTCCTTTTTTGTCTAGATAATTTCTTATAGTTACAGCAATTGTACATGAACTTGATGAGAAGAGGATTTGATGAATTATTAATTTGTCTATTTTCTAATTGGACATTGTGATTAATTAATATCAAATTTTACCAATCCGTAACACTCAAACGAAATATAATTGCATCAGTTTGCGGTTAAACTTAATTCGAATGAAGTAAATCGAATTTGTTGTTGAGGAGGCTCGGAGAAACCTAAAATTTTTAGGAGAAAGAATATTATTATAATTAGAGATACTTAAGAAACATAGTCGGAAAAGTTGAAAGTTTCGATGATTCGTTAAATTAGAGGAGGCCTCCGGTTGTCGTCCGAGCACTCGCGAGATATCGATATCGTTGTTTAGCTTTTTAAGACATAGATAGGGAAATCTGTAAAACGAAGATCGAAACATTCGCACCTGCGTCGTCTCCTTCGTTCTTCGAATAAATGATAAGGCGGGTCCGTTGTAAATAAATATATTTTCACTTAATCTAAGGTATTTTATTTTACATTCAAACACCCCATCGAAGCCGACGGACAGAGATTACGCGAGGGGGAGAGAGAGAGGGTTCGGTCACAAGTTGAGAGGGTTGGCGGAGGGCTGTCCGGCGGCGGCGGCGATGTCCTTCCCCAGCGTGGCGAGCTGGTCGTAGCGGCGCAGCGTGCGAGGCGCGCGCGCGTCGGCGAGCAGGGCTGGGATGCGGCCTAGTGCCTCGTCCGCCCACACGGAGGCGAGGCGCGCCTCGTGCGCGTGCGTGGGTAGACTGAGGCGCGCGGCGCGCGAGGCGCGGGAGAGCGCGGCGGCCGCGGTGTACGCGTCGATGGCGGCGGCCGCCAGGCGGTTGAGCACGAACTGCTGCTCCACCACCGCGCGACCGTGACTCACCAGCACGCCCTCCACCACGCGACCGCACTCGGACACCTGCGGGACCCGCGACCACGCGTTATTTATATACTAGCAAACCAGTGAACCGAATCGAGCCAAAAGAACAGGGAAATATCAACAGAGATGGGTCCGTTACGGTTTAAAATATTAGTTTCCACAAAAAACGCATTTCGACAAAAGTGTCGCTTGCGATAATTTGGCGAAATGTTTACCAAAACCTGATTTAAAAAAAAATGTATTTAATTAATTGAGAACTTCGGAGATTTTGTGTGGTTTCGTTTGAAATTCGTGATTTCTCGAAAACCGGAAGTGCTACGTTACTCAAATCCGGTTTGTAGTCTTATCAGACTATTCTTAACTTATAACTTAAATATTCTGTTTACCTATCTCTTACGGTTTGGCCGCTGAAACAGCACCACAGACAGACGGACGGACTTGTCTAATAGATAAGAGATTCATGGAAAATAAAATGATGTAGCATTGATATGCCTTTCACAGCTTTCACGAATACGATCAAACCCAATATACTTTAGTTATAAAAAAAAAATTAATAGAAAAACAAATACGAAGACATACCGGAGACGATATACTTTCTCCCGCCCACTAATCGTTTAAAACAAAATAAAAGCAATGAAGTATAAATCTAAGCATAAAACCATACCCCTCGAGAAAATTATGACAATTTAAATTTTATTAAAGTTTTATTATTATTATTAAAAATTTTACTGTTCACAATGTTTTTGAAGTTATTTTGTAAATCCAGAAAAACGTCTTCATCACTAGAACAATTAGTATTAAAGTTTTAAGTAGAGAATTAAAGTAAGATTTCTGTCCCCAACTTTTTGAATATAAATCGGTATAAAATCACAGATAATTACATTTATCAACTCTCCGAAATAGTACCTGAATTTTAAACAATGATAGAAAATCATTACTGCCTATCGTGCTGAGAATTAAATTGTGGAAAAACGTTAGGTCCGCAGCTTCCCTACGCTTGCTTAATGGAAGAAGATGGAGCAGCATAGCATATATTTATTTGATAGCAGTCAACAATATAATTTGAAGTTAAATTTAACCTACATTTGAAGTTTACAAACCTTAGGAACTTATTTAAATCATTTCTAAGTGGTTAATATAACAATCATATTGAAGATGACAGACCTGACATGCATATTCCAGGCTGATTCTCATCAAAGAGCAATATAAAAAGTTACTTTAAACCTTCTCGCGATATGCTCCTAGATAAAGCGATCGATTCCGAATTCGATCTACAAGTATTTGCTCACTTCCGCGACTTTAAGACCTAAGTTGAATAAACTAAGGAACCGATCGGTTTATAATATAAGGATGAATATACACTAAATAATATAGTTAAAAACTGTCAAACCAAAAAAATGGATACATTGCCATCATATTACATTTTAATACGACGCCGTTTCTTCTGAATCGATCAATGAATGAATATCCAATTTGTAGGTATTCGCTCCGAACCGGGTTGTATAATGCGATTCAAATAAGAATAGGAAAGCCAATGACCTCCATCTGTCAAATGTCGCTTGAAAAGTACGGCTTGCAAAAAAATCTTGGAACCCTCTTTTAGCACTCAGCTAATTATGGAATAAAAACCAAACATTTGTAAACAAGCAATAACTAATATTGGTTGATATTTTATTTTCATTTGGCTATGAATGTTTGATAACCTAAATCGTCAACCAAATGTCACTTTAAGTTTCGTTCAGAAACTCGATTTAAAACTTTGGTTTACATATAGAATGTATTCGTATGTGACCTAGTATTAGAGCATGATTATTCATAACTACTCCGGCGGTAATGCAGAGATGAGCGGAATTGAAGAGCTTAATTCTGATTAATGTTTTTTCTCGCACAGTCATCTTATATAAATATTATTAAAAATCGGTTATTTTCTTTTCTCAATTTTAGTAAATAAATTTTATTAAAAATAATGGATGCGTGTAACTTATGTACGCGCGTGAGAAGTTATACTTCTTTAGCATCATTAAAATATTTTTTAATTGCATGCAAATAATTAATAATTACAATAAAACAATAAGAGGACTGGAAAAGGATAGTTAACACAGTCAATTAAGTTCAGTTTTAATTTGAAAAATTAAATAAATATTCAAATATTCAATTAAAATCACTACTGAATTTAAGTTATTAGTCCATATGTAATTAGCACTTGTAAGTAACTAAAACACGTTGTGTTCTTGACCTTCACAAGTGCTTGTAACAGCCTAGACTGAATAAATGTCATTTCATTTCATTTCAATGTCCCGTTCAAATCTGCCCTGTTTGCTTTGTTCAAATCTGCCCCACGGTCACTTGGAAAATAAAATATTACAAATAACGCGCCCGCGGCTAACTTCATTATGTTAAAATTTTGTGTTACAGTGATGAAAATTTCACTCTCATTATTTTTTCATAACGCGGCTAAAGAAGTATAACTTCAAAAATCGGATGTTTTTTCTCACTTAATCTTAGTAAATAACTTTTATTAAATAAAAACTTTTTTGCTCACTCTACCTTTTTCGTTTGAATTGACAGCTATGACGTCATAATATAGCTATGATGTCATAAGTTGAATCGCATTATATAAAGCTAGTGTACCTGCTTGGCCAGCTCGGCCGCCTGGGCCCTGAGCTCGGGCGCCACGTGCGGGTCGAGCGAGGGCCCGGAGCTGAGCCCCACGGCGGCGGAGGCGCGGCGGCCCGCCTCGCTGAAGATGAGTCCCAGGTTCGCAGTCGGATTCTTGAAGGCGCGCTGCAGCTCCTGCAGGTGCGAGCCCGCGTATTGGATGCCTGCACAAATACACACACGATCCTTCACTTACAAACGCACTGTATTGTACGAGCGGTACATTACGTATTTTGTATTTAACCTAATTATTTTGATGACCGTGCGCAACTGCGTAGCGCGGCTCAATATTTAGAGATATTATTATTTTAGTGCAATAAACATATTCAATACTTGCAGCTAAAGAATGGCTAAATAAAATTCGACACCATCGTCAGAGCCGCGCTAGCATAATGTTCGGTGCATTCGCCCGGATAGCGAAGTGTGCGGGTTCGAGACTCGTCTGCTGCCCGGTCCGCATAGATTTTTTTCTAGTAATATATTATTTACAATCTAATAGCTGAAAGATGAAAAGATCGATATTTGGAACATTTTGAACGTAAATTATCTACGATGCGAAGATAAGCTTCACGAAGCCCATGCCGCCCAGGATCTGGATGGCCTCGTCCAGCACCGTCCAGGCTGCCTACGTACCAGTGAGAGCCACGAACAGACGGAGGATGTCGTTGGTGCCCTCGAAGATGCGGAAGATCCTGAGGTCGCGCATGACGCGCTCGAGGCCGGTGGCCTTCATGAAGCCCATGCCGCCCAGGATCTGGATGGCCTCGTCCACCACCGTCCACGCTGCCTCTGACGCGAACACCTGCATCACACAGAACAAACTTTCAAATGATATATGTGTCATCGCTGTCGGAAACCGACTATCACTTTTCAACCTTCTCCTTTGAACGAGATCTCTTTTTAGAGTATAAATTACTCTAGAAGCGGGCGCAAAAACTTACATATCGCAACACCTCGGTCATTCCACATACTCTGAGATTCAAAGTTTATAGTGATTGTGAAGTTAGCAACGAGGACCGCAATGCGCAAGAGTCAGTTCAGTGACATCCCGCGTGTACCTGCATTATCCTACATTTCGTTTACTGTATTTAAATCGCATTATGCTGACCTAAGGAGCTCGACGGCGCAAGTGGTTAGCACTTCCAGCTACGATCGTTGAAGTTAACCAACATTGGTTCCGGATGTATCTGAAGTCGTTAGCACCCACTCGCGTGGTGGGTCAGGGTTCGCACTCCTTATTCCATCTATAGTGTGTCCCAGCAGGGAGGGGGGATGCTGACCTTGGAGATAGCTGCCTCGAGGTGGTAGTCCTGCGCGCCGGAGTCCATGTTGCCGCTGACCATGTAGGCGAGGCTCTCCGTCACGTAATGCAGCATCGCCATGCGCGCCAGCTTCTCCTGAACAAACACCACACGATCAATGTCATATCGGCTGATCGGAGAACGAAAACATAAGACTCCGATGTTTTTAGGGTTCCGCACTGACCTCAAGGTCCTGACAAGGAACCCTTTTAGTTTCGTCAGTTGCTTGGATACTATTAGCACTAGAGAGCTGTAATTTTGTGAAGATATGTATTTCGAACACACCGAAAGATTGGTAGAATAAAATTGCGTGCCGGAGAGTGCGGCCGCATGCCTCATGCGGTCAGCCCGCGGGCCACATACCTGTATGGTGCCGAACTCGGCCAGCTTGCGCCCGAACTGCGTGCGCGTGGCGGCGTGCTCGGCGGCCTGCTTGATGGCGGCGCGCTGCGTGCCGGAGAGTGTGGCCGCATGCCTCATGCGGTCAGCCCGCGGGCCACATACCTGTATGGTGCCGAACTCGGCCAGCTTGCGCCCGAACTGCGTGCGCGTGGCGGCGTGCTCGGCGGCCTGCTTGATGGCGGCGCGCTGCGTGCCGGAGAGTGTGGCCGCATGCCTCATGCGGTCAGCCCGCGGGCCACATACCTGTATGGTGCCGAACTCGGCCAGCTTGCGCCCGAACTGCGTGCGCGTGGCGGCGTGCTCGGCGGCCTGCTTGATGGCGGCGCGCTGCGTGCCGGAGAGTGTGGCCGCATGCCTCATGCGGTCAGCCCGCGGGCCACATACCTGTATGGTGCCGAACTCGGCCAGCTTGCGCCCGAACTGCGTGCGCGTGGCGGCGTGCTCGGCGGCCTGCTTGATGGCGGCGCGCTGCGTGCCGGAGAGTGTGGCCGCATGCCTCATGCGGTCAGCCCGCGGGCCACATACCTGTATGGTGCCGAACTCGGCCAGCTTGCGCCCGAACTGCGTGCGCGTGGCGGCGTGCTCGGCGGCCTGCTTGATGGCGGCGCGCTGCGTGCCGGAGAGTGTGGCCGCATGCCTCATGCGGTCAGCCCGCGGGCCACATACCTGTATGGTGCCGAACTCGGCCAGCTTGCGCCCGAACTGCGTGCGCGTGGCGGCGTGCTCGGCGGCCTGCTTGATGGCGGCGCGCTGCGTGCCGGAGAGCGCGGCCGCCATACCGAAGCGTCCGTTGTTGAGGATGTTCATCGCCACCTTGAACCCGTTGCCCAGCCCGCCCAGCACGCACCGCACCGGCACCTGCCCGCATACCGCGACACATATATCTCGCATTCAAAATTCAATATCGCTCATTCGGTCTTGGCTGTTACGAGCACTTGTGAATAAATGAATAAATAAATAATAATAAATATTTCCGACACTCACACCAATTAGCCTAGTCCCAAAGTAAGCACTATAAGGCTTGTGTTATGGGATGCTAGGAATGTCGAAAAGCTACGCCATCGGCTCGCAAATCTATGCCGGGAAATCTTGTAGTGAGAAAAACCGGCAAGAAACTCAGCAAGGGCTGATTTTTTTCTCCCTGTTTCATTTCATACAGTGTCGTCCAATTGAAAGTTGACATGAAACTTGCAAACATGTGTTGAGGTCAACTTCCATCACATAATGTCAAATATGTAACAATAGACAATCAACGAATTTACTAACAATAAGTGCAAAGAAAAGTCCCAAAATAGCAAGAAACGATTTTCAAAACAAAATGAACAAGAATATGAAAGAGAATAAGTGCAAGGTTCTCTTCTTAAAAAAGAGACTTCTTCGTAAAACTCTTCCTAAGGCTGGGAGGCTGGGAGCCTTAGTTTAATATAACTTTTGTAAAATTTTCTTCAGGTAAAATTACAGCCAGGCCGTTGTATCATTCAAATATTGATTGACAGTATAATATCCTTTCTTAAGTAAGCAATTCTTAATGTGTATTTTAAATTTATGAGAAGGCAAATCAAGGATATCATTAGGAATGTTATTATAGAAATGTCTACCTTGACCCATAAATAATTTATGAACCTTCTGTAACCTGTAATTTGTTTGGTATCTTGAGTTTATTTTTATTCCTTGTATTAAAATCATTATCTGCGCCCCCTCGCGTCATACCTAGTGGAGCCGTAAACTAATCAATATTCTACTGAAACCTAGTGTTATTTGACTATAGCATCGATTGGAGAGTTTTAAGCGAGTTCGAAGCGGAGCGAGTGCGTAGTGATTACGCCGAGGGAGCGCACGGAACTCGCGGCGTACGATTCATGATTTGTACACTCGGTACCAGAATGTTGGTTTTGTTACTTCGAAGACGGAGGAAACGTAAATTAAAACAAATACAGCGACGATTATTGTATTCTAACGAGCTGTGCTATTGCATTAAATCAAATCCACACAAAAAGTTATCGATACCCATTTATCCACCGACAAGAAGTTCGCGATCAAATAAACAAAATGCGAGCAAGGTATAATTAGACCATCTGACTGAGCGTGGAGCTCACCAAGATGGGTAGTTCCAAATATATAGATGCTTCGGGTAAGCAAAAGTGGAGACTTGTAGTTGACTTCCGAAACCTCAACGAAAAAACCATCGACGATAAGTACCCAATAACAAACATAAATGACGTACTTGACAAATTAGGTATAAGTGTCAGTATTTTAGTACCATTAGCAAGTGGCTTCTATCAGGTAGAAATGCACCCCCAAGACATTCCAAAAACCGGATTTAACGTGGAATAAGAACACTGCGAATTTCTTCGTATGCCCATGGGCCTTAAGAATTCACCCTCGACCTTCTAACGCGTAATGAATAACGTGTTGAGAGGACTCCAAAACGAGATATGCCTAGTCTATCTCGATGACATCGTGGTCTTCAGCACCTAACTCCAGGAGCACATCCTCAACCTGGAGCATGTCTTCCAGCGACTTAGGGAATCGAACTTTAAAATCCAAATGGATAAGTCCGAATTCCTTAAGCTCGACACTGCTTACCTTGGCCACATCATCGGCAAAGATGATATTAAATCAAATCCCGATAAGATCACAGCCATTAAAGGTAACCCCATTCAAAAAACATCAAAGGAAATAAAGCAATTTTTAGGTCTTCTCGGTTATTACCGAAAATTTATCCCAGTTCGCCAGAATAACAAAGCCCCTTACACAATATCTTAAAAAGGGTAAGAAAATAACATTTGATCCAGACTATGTAGAAAGCTTGGAAAAATGCAAAACTCTACTAACAAACTTCCCTATATTACAATATCCTGATTTTAATAAAGAATTTCTTCTAACAACTGATGCTTCTAACTTCGCTATTGGAGCAATACTATCCCAAGAACCCATAGTAGCCGACAAACCTGTTTGCTATGCCTCACGCACTTTGAACGAAAGTGAACAAAATTATAGCACTATTGAAAAAGAGCTTCTCGCTATAGTCTGGGGTACTAAATACTTTCGTCCGTATTTATTTGGAAGGAAGTTTAAGGCACTGACTGACCACAAACCCCTGCAGTGGATGATGAGTTTGAAAGAACCAAATTCTCGTCTCACCAGTTGGCGACTGAAACTTAGTGAATACGACTTCACGTCGTCAAAGCATCATTTTACTGCACTGACACTTTTTTTTGATTGATTTACATATTTAAAAGAACAAACTTCCTGAATACTATTATAAATGTAGCTGAATACCACTGTAAGTAGGTATCAGTACTCGTACCTTGACATCCTCGTAGTAGACCTCGGTGGTGTTGGAGCACTTGATGCCCATCTTGTTCTCGGGCGGGCCGGAGGAGACGCCGCCGAAGGAGCGCTCCACGATGAAGGCGGTCACCTTGTCCACCGTCTTGCCGTCCTTCTCCACCGGCGTCTGCGCGAACACCGTCATGATCTCCGCGATGCCGCCGTTGCTGATCCAGATCTTCGACCCGTTCAGAATGAAGTGCTCGCCGTCCGGCGACAGCACTGCGCGCGTCCTGACGGGAGCACAGTCCCCTCTCAATATACGTTTCAACCGAACACCCTGCTCTTCTAATAGTATGCATCAAATAATAGGCATGTATTATGGGATACTGGGATCAAAAACTGTATTCGCAAGATAACGAAATATCTACACAGAAATCTATATGTATTATTTTTTCACTTGGTACAACCCATAGTGGGTGTGTGTGTGTGTGTGTGTGTGTGTGTGTGTGTGTGTGAGTGTGTGTGTGTTTGTGTGTATAGTTACTTGATGGAGCCGGCGTCGGAGCCGGAGGAGGGCTCGGTGAGACAGAAGGCAGCGAACTCCCCGCCGGTGACGCGCGGCAGGTAGCGCTGTGTGTGTGTGTGTGTGTGTGTGTGTGTGTGTATAGTTACTTGATGGAGCCGGCGTCGGAGCCGGAGGAGGGCTCGGTGAGACAGAAGGCAGCGAACTCCCCGCCGGTGACGCGCGGCAGGTAGCGCTGTGTGTGTGTGTGTGTGTGTGTGTGTGTGTATAGTTACTTGATGGAGCCGGCGTCGGAGCCGGAGGAGGGCTCGGTGAGACAGAAGGCAGCGAACTCCCCGCCGGTGACGCGCGGCAGGTAGCGCTGTGTGTGTGTGTGTGTGTGTGTGTGTGTGTGTGTGTGTGTGTGTGTGTGTGTATAGTTACTTGATGGAGCCGGCGTCGGAGCCGGAGGAGGGCTCGGTGAGACAGAAGGCAGCGAACTCCCCGCCGGTGACGCGCGGCAGGTAGCGCTGTGTGTGTGTGTGTGTGTGTATAGTTACTTGATGGAGCCGGCGTCGGAGCCGGAGGAGGGCTCGGTGAGACAGAAGGCAGCGAACTCCCCGCCGGTGACGCGCGGCAGGTAGCGCTGTGTGTGTGTGTGTGTGTGTGTGTGTGTGTGTATAGTTACTTGATGGAGCCGGCGTCGGAGCCGGAGGAGGGCTCGGTGAGACAGAAGGCAGCGAACTCCCCGCCGGTGACGCGCGGCAGGTAGCGCTGTGTGTGTGTGTGTGTGTGTATAGTTACTTGATGGAGCCGGCGTCGGAGCCGGAGGAGGGCTCGGTGAGACAGAAGGCAGCGAACTCCCCGCCGGTGACGCGCGGCAGGTAGCGCTGTGTGTGTGTGTGTGTGTGTGTGTGTGTGTGTATAGTTACTTGATGGAGCCGGCGTCGGAGCCGGAGGAGGGCTCGGTGAGACAGAAGGCAGCGAACTCCCCGCCGGTGACGCGCGGCAGGTAGCGCTGCTTCTGCTCGGGGGTGCCGAACAGTAGGATGCCCTTGAAGCCGATGGACTGGTGCGCGCCCAGCGTGATGCCCACGCCCAGGTCGTGCGCGCCCACGATCTGACATACACACAATGTTGCTCTTTCACCACCACCACCACCTAGTGTCGGTTGTATCGGTTGCAGTGATCGATCGGAATCGAACAGACCCGTCTTTCCCAGTGGGCACTTTGGGCAAGCGCCCAGGGCCCCGCGATCAAAAGGGAGCCCCCTCAGGTCAAACACAAAGTCCCTAGTTCCTGTTAAATCACCAAACGGAAGTCATAGGGGCTCCATTATCCTAATATGCCCAGGGCCTCCAATAGGTCAAAGACGGCACTGGAATCGAAGATATCATCTTATTTGCTATGACTAAACGCGACTTTGTTTCCTATATGTCGTCGCGGTTCTGAAGTGGAGATACAAATAGATTGAAACGAACTGCATTTTAAAGCCAGTTTTAAATATCATTTAAAATATTATAAAGTAAGTGGTCAATTCCAAAGCAGATTAATATGCCGTATACAAGTGTCTAAATATAAAGCTAAGATAAAGAGTGATGTGAATGCAAGAGTTACCTCGACGAGTCTTGCGTACTGCGTGTTGTTGAGGCCCAGCCCGCCCAGTTCGGAGGGCACCTGCAGCCCGAAGGCGCCCATGTCCCACAGGCCGGCCAGCGTCGCCGGCTCCACCTGCGAGTCCGCGTCGTTCTTCGCCGGGTCATTCACCTGTGTGTCGCACACAACGCTGTCAAGGAACACTTCTTATGCATATTACCTAGGAGCTGCCTGACCTGCTACTAGCTAATATTGGTATAGTTATTTATGAAACTGTTGTATAATGAGGGGTATTGAAACACGAATGTGGGTTTAGCACACAAGGCACAATCGAGTGTGATAAACCCATATTGTGTGCGTTTATAACATATACATAACTAAAAACGTAACGAGGTCATTCATCGATAGATTTTACTCCTCACATTTTTCTCATACCGGGCCCCTTATATATGCAAATCGATTCTTAAGGAGTAAACTCCAAAAAATACTGTTCATAATTAAGGTATTAAAACACTCGTGTTTCAACACCTAATTATGAACAGTATTTTTTAGTTATGATATTGGATGTTTTAATGTTGGCAATAAGCAAACTGTTTCAGAATCTTTAATAGACAATTTAAAGAATGGTGTAGATGACAAAGTAAAAAAATCACTGCTAGCCCAGAAGCCCTGAAACGAACGTCGCAAGTATAGGTTGTAAGTACCTCCTGGAAGAATTTCTCGACCGGCGGCACGAGCTCGTGCAGCACCTGGCGCTGGTCGTCGGACAGCGGCTCGGGGTAGGGGAACACCTGCGCGGGCTCCAGCCGCCCGCGGAACAGGTTCAGCACGAACGAGCCGCTCTCACGCGGCGCCGGCCGGGCCGCCTTTGATGCCTTCGACGCCTCCGTAGCCGCGCCGCGCGTGCTGTACGTGCCGCGACGCGAATATTTTAAACATCTCTTATCTATTAGACAAGTCGGTCCGTCCGTCTGTGGTGCTGTTTCAGCGGCCAAACCGTAAGAGATAGATAAAGAGAATATTTAAGTTATAAGTTAAGAATAGTCTGATAAGACTACAAACCGGATTTGAGTAACGTAGCACTTCCGGTTTTCGAGAAATCACGAATTTCAAACGAAACCACACAAAATCTCCGAAGTTCTCAATTAATTAAATACATTTTTTTTTTAAATCAGGTTTTGGTGAACATTTGGTTCACTGGTTTGCTAGTAAACTATAAGTCGCGGCACGAAACTCTAGCGCTGACCGTTATTGCGCAGAAGTAAAAATTAAGATGTCTTGGGGGGGAAAAGGGTGCGCGGGCGGGTGTGCTTTGCGCCGCTATCCCCTCCGCGTTTTGTTCAGCGCTAGAGTTATGTGCCGCGACCTGTACAAATTGATATTTCTTATTTTAAATGTTAAATGCTTGTTAAAGTGTTACGTTTGACATTGCGGGTTACCTACAATATGAAGAGATGTGCTGCCTTGCAATTTCCATACCGTACTTCATTTTATCATAAATCCTTAGATAAAAACAAAAAGGGAAGATACGGTGTTCGCCGCTCAAAAGTGTAAATTGTGGTGCAGGAACACAATTCGCATTAATCACAATTTGACATCCAAACACGCTGCATGTGCGTGTGAGGGAGTTGCTTATGTAATTGAATCAGAGCATGTTTTATTTGATGTTAGCATGAGCGTACCGTATCTTCCCTTTTTGTTTTATTCTAAGTATAAACGCGAAAGTTTGTTTGGAGGTTTTTTACCGTTCACATTAAAATAGCTGAATGAAATTGGATTAAATTGATTGACACTATATAATATTTATTTAATTTTTACTCCAAAAAAACAAAGTCACAGGCGAAAATTAGTAGGTATACGATAAATACATAAAAATAGATTTTTCTAAAAAATATCAACTCGGTCCAGTTTTCAGACGGGTGTGGGTGTCCGTTATCTGGGTGGCTAAGGGGAAGGTACCTACCTGCCTGAAACCTCGATTGAGTGGATTTTTTCTAGTAAAATTTTCTTTAAGAGATTCAAACATTTAAAATAACAACAGCAAGAACGCTCAATAAAAGTCTTTCGAAGGTAGCTCGACAAAGTAAATAAAATCATAATTTCGACGACGCATCCTGTAAAGGATGCGAAACGTCAATAAATAAATATGTTAATCAGTGCATCAATACCGTTGAAACTTGTTTTATTAATGAGTGCTGTGCGTGAAGACCTAAGAAACATATATTTAGACCCCAACTCAAAAATTGATATGCTATCCCTCTACTAAAAAAACATCTTCTATAGAAGATTGGACTGTGCCAAAGTCTTTTGGCAGTGATAGCTGATAATACTTAAAAATAACTTGCCAAGTGCGAGTCAGATTCACATGCAAAAGGACTACATTAAAATTGCATTACATAAAAATAAAATGTTCAACATAAACTCTCACTAAATTTCATGATATTTTTTATTTATTTACTAACGGCCGCCGGCGAATTCGTACGCGTGGAGTTAGTTAGAAATAAAGGTTCACTGCTCGTTCCCCGTAGGTGATAGCGTGATAATATGTAGCCTATATGTTGACCCGACTTCTTAATAATATTCGTGCCAAAGAAGTAAATCCATGCAGTACTTTTTGAGTTTATCCCGGACATACATACAGAAAAACAGACAAAAATTCTAAAAAATATAATTTTGGCTTCGGTATCGATAGTAGATCACACCCCAAGTATTATTTTAAAAAAATATTCAATGGTGTCGATTCTAGCATGATTCTCTAAACCTAAATTTAATTTTGCCAGTAGTATATCCCTGTCATCTCTATACCGAATGAATAGGAGAGACTTATGTAAAATTTAGTTTTAAGTTTAGAGAATCACGCCAGAATTTGCACCAATGTATAGTTTTGACTTTCCTACCATTTTATTATATGTATAGATATTTTATTCATATTTTCTGTCTGTTACAGTTTGATCAGCAGATCATAATCTATACTTATAATAAATCTGTAGAGATGTCAAATTCCGTACATGAAATATATTTTTAAAATAACTATCGGGGGGTGATTAGTGATCGATAATGAATACAAAAATGCAATCAGTAAAATTTTTGTCAGTCTGTCTGTCTGTGTGTATGTTCCTTAAAGAAACAAAAAATACTCGACGGATTTTAACAAAACTTGATACAATTATTCTTCATACTCCTGGGCAGGTTATAGTATACTTTTCATCACGCTACAATCAATAGGAGCAGAGTAGTGAAGGGAAATGCTGGGAAAACGGGAGAAGTTACTCCATTTTTTAAGCTTCCGTCGCGTGTGCAGCCTTAATGGTTAAAGTTACATAGAAGTCATGTATGACGGAAATATTCTACATAAAATTGTCTAAAAAATATCCCGCAACAGCATATGTCTATCTTTTATGGTTGACTCACAATAACACGTGTAACTCCTGATAGCTTAGCAGTTCGGAGCATTCTGATTATTACGTTTATAATACTCTCACTCATGCCTAATTTAAAAAAGTTAACATTATTACCTATTCAATAAAAAAAGAATCATAGAAATCGGTATAGAAACACCAAACTTATACATGAAATAAGCCATCGCGCCGTCGCACGTGAATACTGAATCATGCTATAAGGATTATTTTTGTGTAACGGTTGGAAACACTGATAATTTTAGAGGTTTTATATGTAAGGTCGTAAATAAACACAGTTTTTTCCGCTTACATTGCAAACGCTGGCTGAACCCTACGAGATCGATCAAAATAATGTACTACAGTATTGTATACCTTAAAAATGTCTACAAAAAAGTTCGCCATGGTATCTGTCTATCTCTTAGGGATAACCCACAATAACCATTTTATATCCTATACTTTTTACGAGAAATAATAGATTATTTACGAAGCGATTTACAGCAATATAACATTCTTCCTTATCCAATTAAGTACCTTAAATACATTGTGCATTTAATATAGACCAATTTGGCTATTTAACGCATGTAATTTAAATGAATATTTTCGAAGATATTACAGATTTAAAATGCAGGGACATAGCGGTTCCGACGCTACCGGGCGGGGCGCGTGCCTATTGTAATTAGGTATTAGAAGAATGTCATTGTGTATAATACAAGCCTGAGAACAAAAACTATAGTCTACACTACAGCTCTACACCGAAGCGAAGCGCGGGCGGGCCACTAGTTCTACATAAAATTGTCTAAAAAATATCCCGCAACAGCATATGTCTATCTTTTATAGTTGACTCATGTATACTCAATAACACGTGTAACTCCCGATAGCTTAGCAGTTCGGAGCATTCTGATCATATTTGTTTACTCTTACGTTTATAATACTCTGACTCATCCCTAATTTAAAAAAGTTAACATTATTACCTATTCAATAAAAAAAAAACATAGAAATCGGTATAGAAACACCAAACTTATACATGAAATAAGCCATCGCGCCGTCGCATGTGAATACTGAATCATGCTATAAGGATTATTTTTGTGTAACGGTTGCCGCGTTCGACACGGGTCGCGGCGGCGCGGTAGGGTATCAAAAGGCGGGAGGTCCGAGAGCGAGCTGTCAAATCTGTTTTCTGCGTCGCTCCCTCCCCTGGGGGACGATCCCTTCCAATGAAGCCTTAGAGGCCTTCCCGGCCAGAGGCAGCCTCTACGGGTGTTTTTTAGGCAGTACGAGTCTGACATAACCTTGCAGCCGGCTGTAGGGTATCCATGAGGATTTCTCACCTGCTCCCCCGCCTGGGAGGAAACAAAAAAAAATAAAAAAAAGAGAGCGAGCGAGCTTCAATATTTGGCTGTTGATGCGGTCAGAGCGTTCGACCTTATTGACAGACAATAATTGATATTGAGAAACCGTGCTTATCAGCGCGACTTTTAGTCTTTAAATAGTTTATTTGAATTTCTTTTGTTGTTATTTTGTAAAATAGGTATTAGTTGTTTTGGTAGTGTTTAAATATTCGTTCAAATTAAAAATTATTAAGCGTAGGTACTTTTATTAATTAAAGTAGTTATAAGTATTTATTTTTAAGTGAAGTAGGTATAGGTAGATAGTATTGCACAGGCGTTTCAGCTTTATTTTCATTTCTTTTTTGTTGTGAGTTGTATATATTTCTGGTTATAATTCTATAAGAATATTTTAGTTTAAATAGTCACTTAGATTGTAAGTGTAAGGTAGCTAAAGTTAGGACCACGTGTTAGTTGTTTTGGTAGTGTTTAAATATTCGTTCAAATTGTAATTTAATCATATGGGATGAATGTACGATGGCCCATCGAAAAGGAGTAGAAGCGGTAGACAGAACTTTAAGGGATATAAGACAAAATGATCGACCAATGGGCGGTATCACAGTTTTATTTTGTTGTGATTTCCGACAAACCTTACCGGTAATACCACGGGAACCCGAGCTGATGAGGTTAGGGCTTGCCTGAAAAGCTCTTATTTGTGGCGTGATATACAATCGGTGCATTTGACTATAAACATGCGAGTGAGAACTGTAGATAACCCGGATGATCGTGAATTTTCTGTTATATTATTAAAGAAAATACCTTCACCAAAGATACCTATCCACTGCTACACCAAGGAAAACTTATTCTGACGCCTGAGTTATGTTGTATAGTGCAATCCCAACAACATCTTATATCGTCAGTTTACGGTGACGTAACAAATATATTAAACTAGCTGACTCGGCGAACTTCGTACCGCCCAAAAGTAATAATTTGCAATAAATTAAAATTGCGACTATAATTTGAGATTTAAACTATCCTATCTCTCAAGTTGGATCGAACTGCACATGGTGTGCGAATTTTATTATAATCGGTTCAGTGGTTTAGGAGTCCATTGAGGACAAACATTGTGACACGAGATTTATATATATTAAGATAAGTACAATTCTTGGCTATGCGAAAGGTCCATTTTAACTCCACGCAATGACCTGCCATCTGAGATTAATAATAAAATACTGTCGAATATCCAGGGGGAAAGCGCAAAGTTTATAGTTCAATAAATAGAATGGCCGAGAACAAGAAGCCACTAATTACTCGATAGAATTTTTAAATTCTTTAAATATGCCCGGACTTCCTTCTCATGAAATTTGTTTAAAAATTGGCATTCCGATTATTCTGCTCCGAAATTTAAGATCACCACAACTTTGCAATGGAACTCGGCTTAAAGTAACCCAGTTGCAACAAAATGTAATCGAGGCTCAAATTTTAACAGGTTGCGGTGCAGGAGAAACCATCTTTATTCCCAGAATTCCCATGATACCAAATAATTTTCCATTCCAATTTAAAAGAACGCAATTCCCAGTATCGGTGTGTTATGCAATGACAATAAATAAGGCTCAAGGGCAGACTTTTCGTGTTGCTGGAGTAGATCTAGGTGGTAGTTGTTTTTCACATGGTCAGTTATATGTCGCTCTTTCCCAGGTTAGCAGTTCTAGAAATCTTTATGTTCACGTGCCGGACGGGTCAACTTTCAACGTAGTTTACCCGGAAGCTTTGAGCTGAAGTATTTTAATTTATTATCTTTGAAAAAATAAAACCCTATGAGGGTGAGGCCGCGAATTTTGGCACTAGTGACGCAAAATATTGCGCGACCGTGTCGTAACAAAATAGTCGTGCAAAGTTATAAAGGTTGAAGTATACCAAGTCTGACAAAAATAACATTCTTACTAAAGCATTTTTTTAAGTTACTTAAAGGTAGATATAGATTGTGTGTATAAGGTGAAAATTTATAACTATGTAATAAATCATATAAACACCAATCAACTAATGAAAATAAAATATTGGCACATGAACTTAACGAAATACTAATGTTTTATGAAAGTATTTAATGAAACATGAGTACTATATACTTCAAAAAAAATTAAAAAAAAAAGCCAAATGCATTAAAATCTGCAGTGCTTCTGATACGAGTGTACCATTATTTTGGGAGCGCAGTAGTAGTGACGCCATAATTTCGCAACTGGTCTCGCAAAAGTATATGAGTATTACCGCACAATTTACATTATATTTTCTATAAAATAAGCACTGTAAGTTCTCCCGCGTTTTCCAGAATCATGCGTTGTTAAATCTTTGCAAAAATCTTAAGCTTTACAAAATGTGTTTACAAAATGTGACTGACAACCTGTAATTAAATATTGGTTGCGCAACAAAAGTTGCGCAATGGTATGATATTGCTTAACATTAAACAATAAGTAAAATATCAATATTAGAAAGCCTTAGTTTACAAGCCTTACCATGAACTTTAAATTATTTGTTCTTTAGAAACTAAAAAAATGCTTGATTATAGTTTTTTTTTATTTTTGCTATTTTTTTGTTGATATGTTGCAGTAGCGTTTTATAATGTATTAGTGGCTCGCCCTTGCTTTGCTTCGGTTTAGAGTTGTAGTGTAGAAAATAGTTTTTGTTCAAAGGCTTGTATTATACACAATGACTTTCTTCATAATAATTATAAACCTTCCATTCCAAGTAAAAAGTTTGTTGCGTAGTTTAGAACCGGTTGTATCGAATGCCACATTGTTCTGCTGTTCCAATTTGAAAAAATCTTTTTGTATTGGACAGTGCATTTATCGAGAAAGGCTATAGGCTATAATATATTACCAGGCTACGACCAGTAGTAGCAGAGCATCGAAGAAAAATGTTGCAAAAAGGGGTAAAAATATTCCATTTGTTAAAGTTACACAAAAATCATGTATGACGGAATTCTTCCCCTTTAAATGTTCTGTAAAAAGTCCATGACAGCCTGTGTCCATATTTTAAGTTTGACTCACTATAAACCTTTTTCTTCAAATTAACGCGGGTGAAACCGCAGGTGACCTCTAATTGTGACATAACTGTAATAGATAGATATATGGTATCCCTGACTTTTTTGTAGACATTGGTATCCTCTGTAAAACTTTAGTACCTCACATTGCTCTATTGTCAATGACTTCCGCAGCGTACGCAATATAAGGCTAATTTTTGGTATTTTTTACACATGTTGGGTTACATTATCAAAGTTTTCTTATGGAACCCTAAGTTTTTTGAAAATACACTATAGCCTTTATTAAGCATTGATAATATAGCATTGAAATGGTGAAAGATTGTTTAAAATCGGACCAGTACTTTTTAAGCCAATTTGTTACAAACATACAAATCTTTCTTATTTTTAATATTAATTAAGATTTAAAAAATAGTCTGTTTAGGTGACTACTTGAAGAATAAAATTTTATTAAGGAATATGAAATATTTAGTAACATTTCATCTTAATGGTTGAATCAACAATATCAGGAGCTGGCGAACAAAACGGTATAATTACGCATTTGGTAAAACTACTTTTTTTTTACAGTCCGTAGGATTCGAGGCCATTGAATTTGAATCTCAAAAAATTTTCAAACCAAAACCGCCTAAAACAGTGTTAAAATTACTAAATTTATAAATCAAAAACCATGCCTAAAGCTCACTGGAGGTATGTCATTCTGTTTTATACAGCTCCTGTAAAATTTAATTTTATGTAATTATACCGTTTTGTTCATCAGCTCCTCATATCATATTTAAATAAAAACATCTCAGAAGTCTTGTACAAAAATATTTAACATTTGGAACAGAATAAAAACACTAATTTAAAATTACACAAATATACAACATTTTGAGATCCCTTTTCATAATATCAAATATATTTAACATTAAGCAAGGTTATTTAGCAGTATTCCATATTTATCTGTTAACAGAAACCATAAGTCATTCATACCCAATCAATAATAATTATTTGTTTAACTATAAAAAAGTATTTAATAAATGTTTAACCTGAATTATGATAATTTCATAAAAAGTAACAGCCCGTGTAAAAGGAAGAAGGAACACATAGTCTGTTAACAAATAAATATTGGAAAGTACTAATAAATTTAATGTGTTGATGATGAAGGATTTGGTGCAAAGTCCAAGGCGAGATAAAAGTGCATTTGGATGAATGCCATGGTATTTTATTAAACAAAAAATACTTTTAAGTTAAGGCTTACCTTATCCATGGTAATAATTTGCTAGAAATGCATCGGTTTGCAGTTATTACAATCTTCCCCCCTTTCATTTTTATGAGATTTTGGCAGGAAAACAAAAATATATTATCTTTTTTTTTGTTCAAAAGACTAGCAATACATATCTTTAGCAACAAATAACAATTTAAATATAATAAAGTTAATCTACTTTTATAAACAAACTTTTATCAAAAGAAAGCAAGTAAAAAAAACACTAGTCCGCGCTTCAGCTCATCAGCTGGCTGTCGTGCGTGTGTGGTCGTCGTAACCATAGAGTAAATCGTAACTCGTAACGTAATCATCACAGATTATCAGTTTCAGTGAAGTCCAATGATTTTTAATTGGATTTTATTATTATAGAGTTTAGTTGGAATCGATTTCATTGATCGCTATTTCATACCGATTTATTGTTGGACAAATCTTGTAGGACGCATTGGTAGGACGAGTAAGTGTAGCAGGCAGGACCACCCTTAAATATTTTTAACACCAATTTCACCCTTATACCAACCCCTATTTTTTATGGCAGTACGAAGTTCGCTGGGACAGCTAGTAATAATTATAAATCTTCCATTCCAAGTAAAAAAATCGTTGCGTAGTTTAGGACCCGTTGTACCGAATGCAACATTGCTCTGCTGTTCCGATTTAAAAAATATTTTTGTATTGGATAGTGCATTTATCGAGGAAGGCTATGGCTATAGTTGTGACATAACTGTAATAGTTAGATACATGATATCGCTGATTTTTTTTTGTAGATATTGGTATCCTCTAAGAAACTTTAGTACATCACTTTGCTCTATTGTTAATGACTTCCGCAGCGTACGCGATTTATGATATAAGGGCATTATTTGGAACTTTTACATACGTTGGGTTACATTATCGAAGTTTTCATACCGAACCCTAACTTTTTGAAAATACACTATAGCCTATATTAATCAGTGATAAAGTAGCATTCAAATGGTGAAAGAATTTTTAAAATCCGTCTAGTCCTTTTTGAGCCTATTCGTTACAAACATACTTACATACAAACCTTTCCTCTATATTATATTGGGTGTGTTCCGAAACTTAAGCCAGTACGCTGGCCAGCGGTAATGACGTCAAGATTTCGACGCCATATTGCACTGGTGTGCCGCCATATTATGCTGGTGAGAATACTGTGACGTATAATAGCTGGCTGTATACACTCTGCAGTTAGTGAAGGTCTTTTTTGTATTAAATTGATAATAATGCAATCTCAACAAACAGAAAAAATAGTTTTGATCGATGAAGGGAATAACAAGATTTACACACTTTATTATAATTTTTGGAGCATGAACGTTGCACACAAACACTAGACTGCTTGAATATTGCGCCACTTCATGACGTCACCTCACTGATCAGTGTATTTGGATATTTTGGAACGAATCAACAGCATTGCGTCGATTCTTGACGTCATTAGCACAGGCCAGTATACTGGTTTATATTACGGAAAACACCCATTAAGTATAGATGTCAATGTCGAATTCCGTGTTTAAAAAATGGTTAGATAGAAACGGCCTAGAGTTGCCTGTTTCTAAGACAATTTTAGTACTTTTTTCTAGGATGAGAAACCCGCCTGACCTTAATGTATGCTTTGGTGAAACTTGCCTGCTGCAGAAGCAAGAAGTAATGTATTTAGGTATCATTCTTGATACTAAGCTCACCGGGAAATCTCATTGTGAATATATATCAGCAAAATGCGAACGTAATATTAATATTTTACGAAGTCTTGCTGGCGTTTGGTGGGGCAGCCATCCGACTTCGTTGAGATTGCTTTACATTGCCCTTGTGAGAAGCATATTAGACTATGGTACTTTTTTGTTGGAGCCAGGAAATGCTGGCGCTCTTCGGAAATTGAATAGTATTCAGTCAAAAGCCTTACGAATAATTTCTGGTGCCATGAAGTCTAGCCCTATATGCGCGTTACAGGTAGAATGCAATGATCCTCCATTACACCTTCGTAGACAGTATTTAGCCGATAGATATTTTTATAAGGCCGTTCAATTGACAAACAACCCAGTTATTGAAAAATTAAGAATTTTGTCGGAAAAGGTTATTACGGCTACTTATTGGTCTCGTAAGAGCCTTCCACCACTAGTTAAAACCTTTAATAGATACAAAGCTGAAGACATTCCGGTCCATCACTTCCATATTCCCCCTATTTTTAATACAGACTATGATGCTTTATCTATTAACCCTAATATAATTTATAACCTCCACATCGACGATAAGGCTAATGCAAATGTCTACTTTAATGCTATAGTAAGTGAGACCTGGCACCAATGGCACAAAATATTTACTGATGCGTCTAAAACCGCACAGCAGGACGTTGGAGTTGGAATCTTCCACAGCAACTACAAGATTCAACAAAAAATACGTCTGCCTCCACAGACTTCAGTTTTTACTGCCGAGTGCCTCGGTATCTACAAAGCAGTAGAATATATAAGGCTGGCTAAACTAAAGAACACCATTATTTTTACTGACTCCTTAAGCGCATTATATGCGCTAGCAAAATTCCCATTCAGATCAAAAAATTATCCATTAATCTTAAAGACAAGGGAGTTGCTTTATTTAAGTTTATTAAAGGGATATTCGGTTTCTTTTGCCTGGGTACCTAGCCATTGTGGCATAATTGGTAATGAATATGCCCATTACCTCGCTCGGGACGCAGTAAAATGTGGTGATCTTTATTATTATAAGAACTATTCTCATGATTTAATTAATATGTCACAAACAACATTACAAAATTCATGGTCCAGGTTATGGGTGGAGAGTAATAAATCAAAAGCTAAGTACTATCGCTCATTACAACCAACTTTACTTACTAAACCTTGGTTTTCCAAATTAAGGTTTAGTAAATCAGTTACTACAATTTTAATCCGAATGCGCCTCGGACATGTTTGTACTCCTGATCGTTTGGCAAAATATGGTATAATAGATACGTCCACATGTGAATGTGGCGAGGTTGATGCTGACGTTAACCATATTTTCTTTTCTTGCCCCAGATATGACAGAACCGCCTTTTTAGATTCATTGAATACAGCAAATATTCCTTTTCCTACGTCCATTCCTTCCCTTCTTTATAATAATAATCCTGATGTATATACATGTTTATCTAAGTTTATCAGAAAAAATGATATAAAAATTTAGTTTATCTTCATATTTATATTTATACTTTGGTTCCCTTTATTTACCTATATCCCCCTACCTACTCACCTGTTGTTCCTTGTTGTCATTCATCGCAAATCTCCCTTTTATCTTGTTAATATCGTTTCCTACTTTTTACCATCTGTTATCACCACATTATCCAACCACCAACTATCCATACTATGCCCCTTTAATCGATAAAGTTTAATCGATTTACTACCCAATCACATCAAATAAAGCTCGCATATGGCAAATGGCAACATTAGTAGGGACACGATATCGAATAGAAAGTATCGATACTGTACTCATGAGTAGTATCGGTAAAAAAGTATCGTACTCGTAAAAGTATCGAAACAAAAGTATCGATACTTCAAAGTATCGAGTACATTTCATAGGGCCTTATCGGATCCACTGTGGCCCGATGAGAAACCCCCCCCCCCCCCGGGTTAAAAATTGAAAGAAAAACAATCCAATTTTATTATAGTACGTATAATAACAGTAAAAGGACATATAAATTCACAAATTGCTATATTATATAATGAAAAGAAAATAGCTGTGATTTCTGACACTTAAAAAGTGTTCATTAATATCACATTAATAATTAAAATGTTACTTGAATCTGACACGCAGTTAACGGCGGCCATTGGCATGCTTCACTCAATATTATAATAGGGAAGATGCATATATAATATTTATGAAAATTTTATGATTAAAATGTTAAAAAAATATAAAAGAAATGCCATTGCAACGTTTTTATTTTACATAATGTTGTTTTTTAACAATTATTACGAATTAAAAATACTTGAAACGGAACGTATTTTAAAACACCAATCAGCGTTTAGTGACGTCAGTCCTGTTATGACAACTTCTTTGAGGTTATGGTTGTTAAAGTAAATATTATTTTATGGGAATATTTAGTGCGTTTTTTTACATTTAATAAAAATGGAAGTTACGTTTATCAAAGCAGACTCCAGGAATTTACCAAGAGTTAGCGTTGACATGGTTATAACTTTTTTTGTCCAAAGTGCAGAGTTTTTAAGTGTAGAAATGAAAGGGACTAAATTACTACGGTATGTAAAAATCGTAGTTGTTAAACTTCGTCTTTTATTCAGCGGCTTCTACAAATCTTACGGTGATAATGCAATCGGCTATGTCCAAATTAAAAGAGATGGAAAATTATGTACAGTAAAGAGTCGAGTTCTCCGGAGCATAAAGTACGTAAAGAAGGTTATCGTGTTACAGTTATTTTAAATGAAACGCAAAGCTTGGTTCAGTCCTGCCAATGTGAAGATTGTGCCACACATTTTAAACTTTATCTAATTTTCGACGTCATTCTCCAACTGTAAAATTAAAAATATGTTACAGACAGGTTTTGTAAGTATTAGGTAGGTTACTAATGCGTTTTTACGTACAAGCAGATTAATTAAGCATATAACAAGTATATTCGCCGACTTACGTCAAAGTGATCTTCACAGCATCGAATAATGGTCTTTGAAGAATAATTGTCATTTCTCTTCGCAGCTTGAAACCACTTTTTTTCAGTTTTGGGTCAGAAGTTCCAGTCAAAAACAATTTATTTGGGAACTTTGTTGAAGTAGATTGGCACAAAAAATGAGTCAACACGGCTTTTTTTCGGAATATTAGTGGTATTGTTATGATCACATGATGTTGATGGATAGTCCATTTTAAATTTTTCAAAAAAATATTTCGAAAGTCGAAAAAATATGCAAAAGTATGAAAATTTAAAGCCAGCAACGAACAATTACGACCAGTGACAGACAGAAATGACGTCATCGCAACCAGAGGTTCGTTTTCGCGCGAAAATTTAAATTGTCAATTTAAAACCGCATTTTTTCCGATAAATCACAATGTTTTAATTTTTTAATATATCTGTGGTTTATTCTACATGGAATTCTTTAAAATGAAAACAAAAATAAAAATATTGCATCTTCCCTATTATAGAAGAGGTTACGTCCGTCTTTTTTTCAGGTCCGTGGTTTCAAATAGGTATACACAGCACAGACAGAATAATAGTGTTACACTTGAATACATCAATGCAGTCAAGCGAAAAGCACAATAAACGGCGAATCATCAATCACAATTTCTAACAATATGGTCGCTAAATAAATAACTATGAAACAAAACAAAGCGCAAAATAAACACAGTCACAGATTGGAAAGAATTTGAATATATCATAACAATATGAGGCGCTTGTCCAAATTTTAAAAGTATCGATACTTACTTGCCAAAAAGTACTCAATAAGTAAAAGTATCGAATACAAAGTATCGAGTACAAAAGTATCGGTATCGAAAGGAAAAGTACTCGATACCACAAAGTATCGATACTTTTTTCGTGTCCCTAAACATTAGCCGTCATGCCATAATAAAAGAAGAAGAAGAAGAATTCCGTGTGTAATCTGTGTTATGACCCAAAGCCCAAACATAACCTCAAAGTGTGTACTGAGATTTAAAATATAAAAGGACTTAAATTAACGACTAATAAAATACAAAAATTTGCTGGTGGACTATTAATACAATTTATATGTCAAATCAGTGATATAGCCAAACATACGCTATGGCTACGACTAGTGTAAAGTAAGTTTTATGTACTTGATAAAAATATTGTTTCATCGTTTACTCACACTAAAAGCTGTTGATGTTTCAGTTATTGGAAGCGCTTGTGGCGATGGACTACTTCCCAAAATCTGTCTGTAGAAGATTTACAAACTGTGTTAGGCAAAAAAGAAGTTAAAGAAGCCTTATTTCAGGGGCTGCAAAGTTACAAACCAAATCGGCCTGAAGCGTTTTCTCAGCTACAATCTAAATATCCAGATCAACTCAAATTGTTGAATGCGGTACAAATGCTGCAGAATTATGTAGTAAGTAAAGTTTTGGGACCTGCCCTGCCATATACCACTTGCCTTGCACATGTAAATTATTTAATAAAATTCAATAACAAACTAGCTAATTCTCGTTAGAAATTGTTGTAATATTATAGGTCATATTATAGGACTTTATTTACACATGCTGTACCATGAGAAGTTACTTTACAGTTTAAAAAAGGGTTGCAATGATGAAAGAGGAACATGTAATTATTATATAATAAATGAGCAATATGCAATATAAGTATCTTCCCTTTTCTTTGTACTTAAGTACAAGCTTAGATTAAAGACTCACTCATTTAGGATGAATGCTTTTATTGATAAATAAAAGTGAGTCTTAAATGATCTGCGTGGAATTAATTTTAAATCTTAAGGTCATCCATATTATATGAAAAAAGTATATAGACAGAGTTTTAACATGGATATATGGTCATGCAATGGGTAAATGCAAATTACTGAAGATTTGTCAAAAAATAAGAGGCTGTTTATTTTTTGTAGTTGAGCATATAATAACAATATATATACAGAATATCTAAACAGCCATTACACCAGTTGTAAATATGCCTATGAGAGGACCAAGCACAGGTAATGCTTGGTCCAAATAAACAATGTAGCTGACACATTGATTCTGTGCTATGAAAACACTTTATACTTTCATTTCTTGCCACTTACTAAAATACCATATCAATAATAACAAACCACATACCTATTATAATTTTTTAAAGCAGATTGCCTATTGGAGACTTTCCACAGTTGCCATAATACAAATGAAAAATTATGAATTTGGAGTTTTAAGGAACATTTATAGTCAATTTTAATTTCCAAAAACCAGCCAAATGCAAGTTAAACTCGCATTCTGGGTTTTTAGGGTTCTGTGCCATATATTTTATATAAAATGGGACACAATATTATAACATGGATTGCCCCATACAGTAACTGTGATTTTAACGATATTTTTATGCTCTTAATTTTTTTTTATATAACTACGTAGGCAAATGACTCTACCCCACCCGATGTTAAGTGGTGTTATTTTTTTCAAAATATATAACCAACTTAATATTTTGTAAATATATAAAGAGTTTTTCAGTAATGCTGTTGCGGTTATTAATGTATAGCAAAATACAGCAAAAACATTTTTTTTGTATGGGAGTCCCACTTAAATATTTATATTATGCTGTTTTTAACACTTGTTGTTAAAGTGGCAACAGAAATACATCACATGTAAAAATTACAACTGTATAGCTTTAACATACAGCTTGGTGAAAGACAGACGGACAGTAGTCTTAGTAATAGAATCCCATTTTTACCTGGTACAGAACCCTGGAAAAAGGCTTTATTTGTTACAAACTTAATTAACCAACTGACTGATTAAGTATTTTTGATTTTATTTTCAGGATGTCGACACTTTTCAAATATGGGATCTAATACAGCACTATTTATGTAGTATTTCATATGGAACTTTGGAAAATGCTCTGAAAAATGTTACTTTTCTAGACATCCGACCCACATTTATTATGCCTAATGTTTTTAAATTCTATTTCTCAGAAAGGCTATTTCTACTTAAACTGTTACAGTATATAATTGACAACAAAAATTGTGCCTCCCACAAGTATCATACGGAGTTTAATACAATGTTTGAGTCTAGTAAAGAAAACCTAATGTCTTCTTTTATAGAACAATTTGAGAAAGTAATAACTTCTGCTCCCCCTCCTAGAAAAATTCAGAGTGATTTTGGTAATGAAACAATTCGCCAAGAGTGGGCAGTGTACAACCTGAGAGAGCAAGTGGCTTTACTACAATTGATGTTACTTCTAGTTAGTGAAGAAAGTATTTCTGTTGAAAATTTCCAAAAGCTGTTTAAAGCCTTCAGGAGACACAATTATGGGAAGAACCAAGGTTACCATGACCTATTAGAAGAGAGACACAGAGAAATGTGTACACATATTATGTATTTGGAGTTATCATTGTTTATGATTGTCTGCGATAAGCAATATCAGTAAGTATGAATATTATATCAGCAGTTTCCGAGTAATGGAGACTCTTTAGTTATCCATGAGTTCCCTGTGTGGTTGCTGGGTCCATTGCTTGGTATACAAAGGAACTTGAGGTTCCTTCGTATACCGTCTGTCTACAGTTCCTGGGATTATGACACAGGTTTAGTTTATACCTCTCAAAAGAAAATTCAAAAACATATTACTACTTCTACATTTGCACATATTTTAGCTGACGAGATATATAAGAATGTGTAATGATGTTTCAGAAAAAATCCCTCCACATGGATTGAGGCGACAGAAAAGTTTGTTTGTCCGGAATTAACCAAACTTCAACTTGGAGCTGAGCACAGTCCAATGCTTTTGTCCTGGATGCTACTATCTCTTGAGGTTTTTAAAAATATTCTAATATTAATAATAAATATGAGTCAATTTACAACAAATATTTAGTCCCATAGTTCCACCTTACATTATAAAGCAATTACAGGGCCAGTTGATATGATTAGGTAGGGGTCATGATTTTTACCCCCCCCCCCCCCCCCCCGGTCATAGCGTTGTCACAGCTGGTCACATTTGTGAGACTGCCACCCTCTCTAGTGTGGCATCACATATATGGTTCAAAATACCATTAAATTGCGCCATACACTCAACTTTCATAATCAATAAAAAAATAGTACTTAAGCAGGCTACTTTCGCTAAAATCGGGCTTCAAAGACAGTGAGGTGAAAACTTCTTAAAATTAGCCATTTGATTAAAAATATATTGGTAATTTTATCATTCCTAAGTTTAATTAGTTTGCTAACTAACCAAAAATTACTACAGGAAAGCTAAGATTTACATTAGGAGGTTATTTATTTTTAGTTTAATAAAAAAAAACATTACTCGGTTCCCCAGGATCTAAATTTTTTTACGTCAATGTTCCGGCCACTCTGTATAATTCTTAAGAGCCCTCAAAATTTACAAAATTGCGCCTCATTGGCGCGTAGGTAGATTTGCACTAGTATATATTGCATTTTACGGGTGATGTAGATTAGTTTTATGAAGGTTTTTGATAGTAATTCTATTTAATTCAATAACAAAATACCTTATTTAAATAAAATAAAAAAATTAGGAAAACTCACGGAGGTTAGATGTTTTTTCTTGATAATTAATGAGATGGAAAATCAAAATTGTAATATTTCTGATGTCATAGTTATTAATTTGATTTATTGAACATTATTGAGAGATTGAGACGTTTGAAGTTGTGCATATTATCGTTTTTTCCGTAAACTAGCTGCAGTAGAATGATGTGTACAAAAAAAGGAAAATAGTATTTGCAAATATTCTACATTAACTTACAATAGGAAGAATAAATCTACTGCTATCTTCTATTGGAAATAGTCAAAATCTTTTGTAAGGAGGTAAACGAAAACGGGAGTATATGTGTAGGATTATGTATTTTATATTTATTGTTGTTATAGAATAGTTTGGTATAGTAGATAGTTTTTATGATCCACACTAAGTAGCTCATATTCTATCGCCATTACATTTCGTCTCCTACACCTTTACTGGTTGACTGGTAGAGAATGCCTATGGCATTAAGTCCGCCATTTACTGTTTTTGTGGTATTAAAGAATAAATAAATAAACGAGGCGCTCAAAAATTACGATTTTATGCAAAAATTGTGAAAGGGCTCTCAAGCGGTTTTAATAAAGGAAAATTACACTAATTGCATCAGAAATTTAGGATTTTCAATGAAATTTTGTTTTTCTTTATGATGTTTTGAATCAACATTTAATTGTAAAATGCTATTTTCTTTTTATTAGAGTAAAGATCATGCAAAATTGTTCGAAAGCAAGTTCCAGCACTACGGGGCCACAGCTCTCAAATTGCATGTATTTGAATTCTTGAATGAAATGGTTAACTCATCCGTATTATCGGTAAGTAAGAACAAGCCACATTTCAATAGCATTAACATAATATAATGGTGCGTACTGATTAGAGTCAGCCTCGCTTGAGGCACGCATGGCTCGCCCTGTTGCCTAAAGCCTATTCAATACCAACAAACAAACAATCAAATCATTCCTCTTTTTAAAATTAGTATAGATTACATTAATTCAGTAATTCAGTCATAATAATATTTTTTTCTTAATAATAATACCATTTTTATCATGTAACTGTCCCAATTGCCATTCTAACTTGAAAACTTTGTAATGGGCAGCCCCAGTCCAATATGCGAGAGGGAGAGAATGACTTGCGGCTCCATTTTCGATACGTTTCTTTATGGGCGCGGATAAAACATACTTAATATAACGTACAGATAAATAAATAATAAAGAAATATTTCCAACACTCACACCAATTAGCCTAGCCCCAACGTAAGCACTATAAGGCTTGTGTTATGGGATACTAGGGTAACGGATAGAATATTATATCAGTCCATGTATTATACATAGACTGTATGTGTGTACATATATTTATTTAGAAAACATATTAAACATCCATGACTGGAGTACTAATGCTCGTATTTATCACACAAACATCTGCCCTCACCGGGATTCGAATCCGGACCTCTCGAGTCGGCGACACCATGAAAGCCGACGTACAAACCACTCGGCCACGTAGGTCGTCACAGATAGGGTTATGAAAGAAGAGAGTGGTCTTTGAAATTAAAGTTTTTCTAACCACACTGAATTTAACTTTGCAGGACCATTCGAAATGTTCAAAAATAGCCAGGGAAACAATTTTCAATCTACTAAACGTAGTGTGTGATAAGTTTGACGGCGACGGCACTGTGAGCCGCCAGCCCGGCATATTTCCACTCTGCGCAGAGCTGCTCTCATCACAAGATACAGCTGAAAATTTTTGGAACCTTCACCAAAAAGAGGAACAGTTCGGGGTCGTTTCTCTATGGAATACTGCACTGGAATATTTTCCTTATAACTTTAGCATGCTTTCAATTTTAGCGGCCGGCTTAGCGCAGGCCGGCAAGGACAGTGTTGGAAATGTAAGTATCGCTATAGAATTATTATTAATTATTCTTACGTGACGGGATGGGGTTTGAAATTAAATGCCAGTACACGCTTGACAGTACTTTATTTAACTCACAGTTAATACACACTGGTGTCGATTCTGGCGTGATTCTCTAAACTTAAAACTAAATTTAACATCAATCTATTCTTTTCATTCCTTATAGAGAATGACAAAGATACACTGTTGTCCAATTTAAGTTCGAAGAGAATCGTGTCAGAATTGACATCAATGTTAATCACAATACACTCACTATACACTGTACTTCACTTTACAAGTCTTTAAATAATCGCACTTGAACACTTTACTTGCACTTTGATCGCTTTTGTATTCATTCCGAAGTCGCTATTGAAACTAAACTGTTTCTGCGCGGCGCCGATCGCGCTTATATACGCCTCGACGAATTCTAGAAAAGTCCCGTTAAATTGAGAGTTAACTAGCACCCGCGAGTGCGTAGTACATACTTATACCTATGTAGGTAACGCTCATAAGTTGGAAATAAGCGCAGATGTCGTTGCACTTTCTCCCTTACGCCGCACCGCATAAGGCTCATATTAGAATGAGCCGCACCGCTCGACATTTATCGCGATCCGCAGTGTCCTGGTAAATTCCGGTCTCCAGTATTTTCGCGGTTTCGTTTCGAGAGCGCGTGTTACAATGTACAACTATCGATGATTTAAAACTTTCCCTTCAGCTGATCGGCGAACTGAAAAACTTGCCAGTGTACACGGAGATGTACAACCCTCACAGCGTCCCCCTACTGTCGTCGGAGTCGGACTCGGCCGAGGCGATAGTGGGTCGCGCCTACTGCCCCGTGGGGGGCTACAGGGTGGAGGGCGGGTCGCGCGCCATCGTCATGGAGCGGAAGGAGGGCACCATGATACACTTCCGGACGCCGTGCTCATACTGGACCGTGCTCAACCACGAGGTGGACAAGGCGCTGGACCGCAAGCAGCACCACCACACCGGCGACACCTTGCAGCGGTTATACGAAGGAATCAATGTATTGAAAGGTAATAGAAAGGACGCAGTTCCAATGAGATTCTTTGACTGAGAAATCTAGGTTCTTTTTGAAGTGAAACTTCTTTATCGGCGTTGGAAAAAAAATTACCGTCACATTTTTATTCGGTTACGCGTCACGTTTTTTGGTTACGCGCCATCTTTTTTTTAAAAGAGCACTATTTACCTCATGCGAACGATTGCTTCTTCTGTCAACTTAAAAAAAAAAGGTAAGGTAAGGTAAGGTGTAGTTATACCCCTTTAGTGGGTGAGTTTTTGAAAAATCTTAGCGCACGCCTATATATATATTTCTGGAAAGTTGCATGTAGGTCATTTTTCGAAAAAAATAAGGCCATAAAGAAGTTTCACTTCTTACGTGTGTACACTAGTACACGCAAACATTTTTTTTTATAGAAAAGTCCGACAAATGACTCCACCCCACCTGATGTTAAGTGAAGGTGAAGTCCAGACGCGAAGATAGCTGATACAGCAGTTCTACCTGCCACACCAGCCATCCTCACCCTGCCGGCCTGCATGTTGCTTCTTCACGCCTCTTTTGAAGGATCCCAGGTTGTAAGAGGGAGGGAATACGTGAGCGGGCAGAGCATTCCATTTACGGGTGCGACAAAGAAATGAGTCACCAAATTTCTTTGTACGCGTTGGAATTGTAGCCACAGTAAGACGGTGACAACGTAGGCCAGCGCGCGTGGTCCTCTGAAGGAAAGGGGAAGGTGGAATAAGAGAGAATAACGGTTCACAGCTGCATAAATAATAAATAAATAAATATTTCCAACACACACCAATTAGCCTAGCCCCAAAGTGAGCACTATAAGGCTTGTGTTATGGGATGCTAGGGTAACGGATGGAATACATATACTGTACATATATAAGTATATTTATGTAGAAACGCATATTAAACATCCATGACTGGAGTACAAATGCTCATGTTCATCACACAAACATCTGCCCCCACCGGGTTCGAACCCGGGACCTATCGAGTCGGCGACACCATGAAACCCGGCGTACGAACCACTCGGCCGCGGAGGTCGTCAAATTTCATTGCCTTCATTTGGATTCTTGAAATGTTTAATGGTTTTGCACTGATGATCTTGTGTTATTTTAAGATGAGTCGATTTACTTCCAACCTAAACATCCTGCGGCCGGTGTAGGTCGCATATAGTGGGTTCGGAAATAAAAAGATTTACTTGGCAGAAACAAATCCTGATATTGTGCCCAAATAAAACTTTTCTGCGACCGTCGCGTCCTGGCAGGTAGGGGAAGTAATGAGAGAAAAACAGGCCTGGGAGTGTTCGTCCGCAGATAGGTCGAACTCCTATAGTCCAATTCCTTCGAAGCTTCAGGCGTCAGTAGGGAATGTCGGTAGTTACAACCGACGACTTTCCGTTACGGTTCAAATTTGGTGGTTTTCCGGCTGAAGATTCACAGACAGACTCAGGAAAACCGGAGTCACTCCTCTTCATAGGTTGAGGGTCGACTCAGCACCTAGAACCCAAAGGGCAACACTTTAGTAATTGCTCCTGGACTTTGCAAGACGGTCCCAACGGCCAACGGTTCAAAATTTATATAGGAGTTTAAACAGGCTGGCGTTACATAATGCTTACGCTAAACCTTTAGAGAAGAGAACAACATTACACTGTTGCTAAGTCTAGACAATAATGAAAACTCACCCCAGCGGGAATTTTAATTAATTATTACGTCGCGAGACAAATTCGGCGCGAGAACGGCGTCACGGGCGTTCTCAGTGATTACGTGGTTGTGACTAAAAATTCGAACGCGACTACGACTGTTCAACGGTATTTTACTCACAAGCTCCAGCCTTTATTACAATTATCCTGCTATCAACGCTTCAACGCGATTCCTCATTTACTAAAACTCTTTTAAATAAAAACGATACTAAATTTCGATTCTGCCACTCTAGCACAATGATAATGAAAATATCCATTACACAATCCACTCTGACAGGTTACAGAGTCTCTCACCGGCTCGTTGCACTTTGAACAAGACATTTTTTAAGGTGTTAATACCAAAAGTTACCGTGAACGCGCCGTGTGAACAACGAAATTGTTTACGTAAACTAATAGGGTAGGACGCAGTATGAGCGCGCGCAAACAGCGTATCGACCGGCCCTCGCAAGTTCAAGCGGTTAACTGGATCACTATTATTTTCAGAACTACAATAAACGTCATTGAAAAACAAATTATAAATTGTTTGCGTAGGTGTGGTAGGCGCACTGGTGGAGCAGGCGGGAGGCGTGCCGGCCGACGTGATGCGCTGCAGCGCCGGCGCCGTCGACGCCATGCTGCGCTGCACCCGCCTGCTGCCGCTGCTGGCCGCCGGGCTGCAGCTGTGCGCCGCGCTGGCGCTCGCCTCGCCCGACCTCATCCACCTCAAGTGCGTCCTCTCACTGCGCGCAGCACCGGCGCCGGCGCCGTCGACGCCATGCTGCGCTGCACCCGCCTGCTGCCGCTGCTGGCCGCCGGGCTGCAGCTGTGCGCCGCGCTGGCGCTCGCCTCGCCCGACCTCATCCACCTCAAGTGCGTCCTCTCACTGCGCGCAGCACCGGCGCCGGCGCCGTCGACGCCATGCTGCGCTGCACCCGCCTGCTGCCGCTGCTGGCCGCCGGGCTGCAGCTGTGCGCCGCGCTGGCGCTCGCCTCGCCCGACCTCATCCACCTCAAGTGCGTCCTCTCACTGCGCGCAGCACCGGCGCCGGCGCCGTCGACGCCATGCTGCGCTGCACCCGCCTGCTGCCGCTGCTGGCCGCCGGGCTGCAGCTGTGCGCCGCGCTGGCGCTCGCCTCGCCCGACCTCATCCACCTCAAGTGCGTCCTCTCACTGCGCGCAGCACCGGCGCCGGCGCCGTCGACGCCATGCTGCGCTGCACCCGCCTGCTGCCGCTGCTGGCCGCCGGGCTGCAGCTGTGCGCCGCGCTGGCGCTCGCCTCGCCCGACCTCATCCACCTCAAGTGCGTCCTCTCACTGCGCGCAGCACCGGCGCCGGCGCCGTCGACGCCATGCTGCGCTGCACCCGCCTGCTGCCGCTGCTGGCCGCCGGGCTGCAGCTGTGCGCCGCGCTGGCGCTCGCCTCGCCCGACCTCATCCACCTCAAGTGCGTCCTCTCACTGCGCGCAGCACCGGCGCCGGCGCCGTCGACGCCATGCTGCGCTGCACCCGCCTGCTGCCGCTGCTGGCCGCCGGGCTGCAGCTGTGCGCCGCGCTGGCGCTCGCCTCGCCCGACCTCATCCACCTCAAGTGCGTCCTCTCACTGCGCGCAGCACCGGCGCCGGCGCCGTCGACGCCATGCTGCGCTGCACCCGCCTGCTGCCGCTGCTGGCCGCCGGGCTGCAGCTGTGCGCCGCGCTGGCGCTCGCCTCGCCCGACCTCATCCACCTCAAGTGCGTCCTCTCACTGCGCGCAGCACCGGCGCCGGCGCCGTCGACGCCATGCTGCGCTGCACCCGCCTGCTGCCGCTGCTGGCCGCCGGGCTGCAGCTGTGCGCCGCGCTGGCGCTCGCCTCGCCCGACCTCATCCACCTCAAGTGCGTCCTCTCACTGCGCGCAGCACCGGCGCCGGCGCCGTCGACGCCATGCTGCGCTGCACCCGCCTGCTGCCGCTGCTGGCCGCTAGGCTGCAGGACTATTGTGTTGCAAATAAACTCGACTTTAATATATCTAAATGTAATTGTTTTATGTTCAGTAGATCTCAAAATGTCCTCCATTTTGACTATAAAATTAATATGCAATCACTGCAGTGTACGGATTGCTTAAAAAACCTCGGCGTAATCCTTTTATGAAAATCTTAGGCTTAATCTTCAGATCAACCGAAGGTTTTAGATTAGCAAAATTAATAAAAAAAAAAGCTCTTTGCCACCTGCAATACGCATGTCAGGACTAGAATCGTCACTATGATTGTTATATTAACCAATAGGCTATTTGACAGTATGAAAAATAAAGTAACAATTGTTGGTATCTGTATTTAATATGAATATTAGCAGCTTTTCTAGAATCACATTAAATAGAAACGATTATTTGTTCTATGGTCACGTCACCGAAAACGCCTGATAGGCTAAACTTAAAATGACGTCACACGCTAGTAAACGTTCGGCCAAAGTGACATTACATTGCATCGTTTGACGTTATAATGGCAGTCATGTGACATAGCAGTGAGACGCCAGTATTTATTTATTTTTTTGGAAGACCAACAGTTATTTTTAAAAATAATAAAAACTTATTTTTCTTACTGAAATACGCAACAGAATGATGAATATCCATTCATATTTCATCATCATTATCATGGTATTATGGACCCCATAAAAATAAGTAAATAACGAGAGATCGTTTACTTTTGACTGACAAGTTTTGTCAAATACCCACATTATTAGAAAAGATCCAAAAAACGTTATTAAAGTTTTTAAACTTTAAATTTAGGTTAAGTGCAAGCACAAATTATACTGTTGATCGACAACGACACCATCTACTTCCATTAGCAAGCGTTGGGAAGATGCGGACCTAACGGTTTTCCACATCTTAATTCTCAGCAAGATAGCAATGAGCTTCTACCATCGGTTAAAATGCAGGTATCATTCCTTAGAGACGCCAGACGTAATCGTCTGAGATTCCATATTGATTTATGGTCGATATATACAATATATAAATTTTATATTGCCTTTTTTTGGATCGTAGACACAGATCAGAAAATATTGGGACTGTTCCAAATGTGATAAAATATATGTGATGACGTGTTACATTGTCGCGTAGGTTGGTGAACACGGGCGTCCTGCCTCGCGCGGTGGGGCAGCGCGCGGACGCGTGGGCGGGCGCGGAGGGCGGCGTGGAGGGCGGCGCGGTGGGCGCGCACGTGGGCGGCGCGGCGCGCGACCCCGCCCTCAGCCGCCTGCTGCTCGCCTATCTGCGCACGCTCACCGCCTTCCGCGAGGTGTGACCCCCCCCCCCCCCCCTGTGTGTGTGTGTGTGTGTCTCGCGGGGCGGGCGCGGAGGGCGGCGTGGGGGGCGGCGCGGTGGGCGCGCACGTGGGCGGCGCGGCGCGCGACCCCGCCCTCAGCCGCCTGCTGCTCGCCTATCTGCGCACGCTCACCGCCTTCCGCGAGGTGTGACCCCCCCCCCCCCCCCCCTGTGTGTGTGTGTGTGTGTCTCGCGGGGCGGGCGCGGAGGGCGGCGCGGTGGGCGCGCACGTGGGCGGCGCGGCGCGCGACCCCGCCCTCAGCCGCCTGCTGCTCGCCTATCTGCGCACGCTCACCGCCTTCCGCGAGGTGTGACCCCCCCCCCCCTGTGTGTGTGTGTGTGTGTCTCGCGGGGCGGGCGCGGAGGGCGGCGTGGAGGGCGGCGCGGTGGGCGCGCACGTGGGCGGCGCGGCGCGCGACCCCGCCCTCAGCCGCCTGCTGCTCGCCTATCTGCGCACGCTCACCGCCTTCCGCGAGGTGTGACCCCCCCCCCCCCTGTGTGTGTGTGTGTGTGTCTCGCGGGGCGGGCGCGGAGGGCGGCGCGGTGGGCGCGCACGTGGGCGGCGCGGCGCGCGACCCCGCCCTCAGCCGCCTGCTGCTCGCCTATCTGCGCACGCTCACCGCCTTCCGCGAGGTGTGACCCCCCCCCCCCCCCCCCCTGTGTGTGTGTGTGTGTGTCTCGCGGGGCGGGCGCGGAGGGCGGCGCGGTGGGCGCGCACGTGGGCGGCGCGGCGCGCGACCCCGCCCTCAGCCGCCTGCTGCTCGCCTATCTGCGCACGCTCACCGCCTTCCGCGAGGTGTGACCCCCCCCCCCCCTGTGTGTGTGTGTGTGTGTCTCGCGGGGCGGGCGCGGAGGGCGGCGTGGAGGGCGGCGCGGTGGGCGCGCACGTGGGCGGCGCGGCGCGCGACCCCCGCCCTCAGCCGCCTGCTGCTCGCCTATCTGCGCACGCTCACCGCCTTCCGCGAGGTGTGACCCCCCCCCCCCTGTGTGTGTGTGTGTGTGTCTCGCGGGGCGGGCGCGGAGGGCGGCGCGGTGGGCGCGCACGTGGGCGGCGCGGCGCGCGACCCCCGCCCTCAGCCGCCTGCTGCTCGCCTATCTGCGCACGCTCACCGCCTTCCGCGAGGTGTGACCCCCCCCCCCCCTGTGTGTGTGTGTGTGTGTCTCGCGGGGCGGGCGCGGAGGGCGGCGCGGTGGGCGCGCACGTGGGCGGCGCGGCGCGCGACCCCGCCCTCAGCCGCCTGCTGCTCGCCTATCTGCGCACGCTCACCGCCTTCCGCGAGGTGTGACCCCCCCCCCCCCCCCTGTGTGTGTGTGTGTGTGTCTCGCGGGGCGGGCGCGGAGGGCGGCGTGGGGGGCGGCGCGGTGGGCGCGCACGTGGGCGGCGCGGCGCGCGACCCCGCCCTCAGCCGCCTGCTGCTCGCCTATCTGCGCACGCTCACCGCCTTCCGCGAGGTGTGACCCCCCCCCCTGTGTGTGTGTGTGTCTCGCGGGGCGGGCGCGGAGGGCGGCGTGGAGGGCGGCGCGGTGGGCGCGCACGTGGGCGGCGCGGCGCGCGACCCCGCCCTCAGCCGCCTGCTGCTCGCCTATCTGCGCACGCTCACCGCCTTCCGCGAGGTGTGACCCCCCCCCCCCCCCCTGTGTGTGTGTGTGTGTGTCTCGCGGGGCGGGCGCGGAGGGCGGCGCGGTGGGCGCGCACGTGGGCGGCGCGGCGCGCGACCCCGCCCTCAGCCGCCTGCTGCTCGCCTATCTGCGCACGCTCACCGCCTTCCGCGAGGTGTGACCCCCCCCCCCCCTGTGTGTGTGTGTGTCTCGCGGGGCGGGCGCGGAGGGCGGCGCGGTGGGCGCGCACGTGGGCGGCGCGGCGCGCGACCCCGCCCTCAGCCGCCTGCTGCTCGCCTATCTGCGCACGCTCACCGCCTTCCGCGAGGTGTGACCCCCCCCCCCCCCCCTGTGTGTGTGTGTGTGTGTCTCGCGGGGCGGGCGCGGAGGGCGGCGCGGTGGGCGCGCACGTGGGCGGCGCGGCGCGCGACCCCGCCCTCAGCCGCCTGCTGCTCGCCTATCTGCGCACGCTCACCGCCTTCCGCGAGGTGTGACCCCCCCCCCCCTGTGTGTGTGTGTGTCTCGCGGGGCGGGCGCGGAGGGCGGCGTGGAGGGCGGCGCGGTGGGCGCGCACGTGGGCGGCGCGGCGCGCGACCCCCGCCCTCAGCCGCCTGCTGCTCGCCTATCTGCGCACGCTCACCGCCTTCCGCGAGGTGTGACCCCCCCCCCCCCTGTGTGTGTGTGTGTGTGTCTCGCGGGGCGGGCGCGGAGGGCGGCGTGGAGGGCGGCGCGGTGGGCGCGCACGTGGGCGGCGCGGCGCGCGACCCCGCCCTCAGCCGCCTGCTGCTCGCCTATCTGCGCACGCTCACCGCCTTCCGCGAGGTGTGACCCCCCCCCCCCCCCCTGTGTGTGTGTGTGTGTGTCTCGCGGGGCGGGCGTGGAGGGCGGCGCGGTGGGCGCGCACGTGGGCGGCGCGGCGCGCGACCCCGCCCTCAGCCGCCTGCTGCTCGCCTATCTGCGCACGCTCACCGCCTTCCGCGAGGTGTGACCCCCCCCCCCCCCCCCCTGTGTGTGTGTGTGTGTGTCTCGCGGGGCGGGCGTGGAGGGCGGCGCGGTGGGCGCGCACGTGGGCGGCGCGGCGCGCGACCCCGCCCTCAGCCGCCTGCTGCTCGCCTATCTGCGCACGCTCACCGCCTTCCGCGAGGTGTGACCCCCCCCCCCCCTGTGTGTGTGTGTGTGTGTGTGTGTCTCGCGGGGCGGGCGTGGAGGGCGGCGCGGTGGGCGCGCACGTGGGCGGCGCGGCGCGCGACCCCGCCCTCAGCCGCCTGCTGCTCGCCTATCTGCGCACGCTCACCGCCTTCCGCGAGGTGTGACCCCCCCCCCCCTGTGTGTGTGTGTGTGTGTGTGTGTCTCGCGGGGCGGGCGCGGAGGGCGGCGCGGTGGGCGCGCACGTGGGCGGCGCGGCGCGCGACCCCGCCCTCAGCCGCCTGCTGCTCGCCTATCTGCCTATCCATTATGAAACAATGTGCGATTAATAAAAATATTACTTAACTGAACCCGACTAAATGGCGCCAAAAATAGCAAAAATCTTGACTCGATTCCTTTGAGTTGGAATGTCTAGTTTGTATCGTCTAACACGGTCCAGCCTAATCCAATTTGCAAATAATGTTTTTTGTTCGCGCATATATCCGAGATACATTTATCGATTTTTCATATCAGGTTTTTAACGCGATGACCGTGTATGGTCACCGTTACCCACACCCGCCATACAAACACGACGAAGACTAATGATTATCACTCATTGTCGATGATTGTGTACAGGGGTGCAAGTCGCCGCGAGTAGAACAGGAGACCGTGGTGCCGGGGCTGCTGCTGGTGCTGCGCGAGGCGTGGGCGGGCGCCGCCCCCGGGGCATCCCCGCCCGCCCGCCGCCTGCTCGCCGCCGCGCTGCAGCTGCTGGCGCGCCTGCTGCACGCGCCCCTCGCGCTGCACGCGCTGCTGCACACGGAGCACGCCCCGCAGCTGCTGCGCATCGTGGCGCTGGGTGAGTGTCGCTGTGGCTCGCTGCCCCGCCCCGCCCCGCCCGCTGCACCGCCCCGCCCCGCCCGCTGCCCCGCCCCGCCCCGCCCCGCCCCGCCCCGCCCCGCAAATTCAAATCATTTATTATTCGGACAACATAGATCCATGTGTTAGTATACAATACTCAATACTAGTAGTTTAGTTAGTAAATCTACAATAATTTTAATCAGTGGACAGTCCCCACGATCAACTAAATTCCTCACGACTATGATTATGAAATATGAAGTAATCCAATAGCACACTCCATCTTAGGTAACGATCAGTTGGAGAGTATAATGTTCGACGAAACCAACTGGGTGTCGGGCCCCAGCACGGAGCTGCTGGAGGCGCTGCAGCGCTGCGTGGGAATCGTGATCCTGGCGTTGCGCCGCAAGCCCGCGCTGCCCGCCGCCGACAGAATCTCGCCCCTGGAGCACCTCATATTCGCGCACGACAAGCGGAAGGACCCGCTCAAAGTGGTTCCCAATATCACCAGCTATATCAATCACGTTTTCAATAAAAGTCTTCCCGTGTTGAGCTGTCGCCTCTTAAAAAAACTGGCTGATGTAAGTAAAATTTTATGGTCTGCTTAACTTATGGCGCAAATGAAATCGAATAGAGTATAAGTAGAGATCCCTTCAAAAAATTTTTACAAGTATACGTATTTTAGGGTTTCCAAATGTCTCTGTTCGCGTCGTTCGACATGTCCGCGTATCAAGTTCGCGTCATGTTCCTGGAGCGGCTGCGCGACGAGCACGAGAGCGTGGAGCTGAAGGTGGCCATCCTGGAGTTCGTGGCCACCTGCGTGGGCAAGCAGCCCGGACTCACCGAGGCTTTCTTCATGATGAACCACGAGAGAGCTGCGGCCGACGACAGAAATGACACTGACAAGGCGGCCAACGAGAGAAACATCACCTCTGATGAGCATTTCGAAGGCATTTTAGGATACATGGCCGACTACCTGGGAACCGTCAAGTCGGTATGTTATTATTATATGTTGACTGAATGATTTTGGCTGTTTTTACATTTCCCGTTCCATGACATACTGAATATTTTCTGTCTTTTTAACGGTGTATGTTTGTTTTTTTATTAAAAAGTAGAAATCTTATTGTCCTAGATTTGACACTAAAATCTGTTTAGTGCTGACAAGGCCGAGGATGAAGGTTGTTTATCTAGAAAATTTTTATTCACTGGACATACGGAGATCTTAAATATTATATTTTTATTTTTTAAGCATTTAACTGTTTAATAGTTATATCTAAAGAAAGTTTCAATATTGTTAAGTGTCGGGATGGGGTTTGAAATTATATGCCAGTTCACGCTTGACAGTTATTTATTCACCACACAGTTCACACAATTAACACACAATGTTAATTACAAAACACTCACTATACAAGTCTCTAAACTATCGCACTTGAATACTTTTGTTGTACCTTGATCGCGTTTGGATTCGCTCCGAAATCGCTGTTGAAACTCAACTGTCTCTGCGAGGCGCCAATCGCGCTTATATACGCCGATCGACGCATTCTAGAAAGTACCTGTTAAATTGAGAATTACCTAGCACCCGCGAGTACGAAATACCTACTTATACCTACGCAGGTAACATGCACAACTTGTAAACAAGTGCAGATGTCGTTGCACTTTCACCCTTACGCCGCAATGCATGAGGCTCATTTTAGAATGAGCCGCATTACTCGATCTCTATCGCGACCCGCGGTGATCTGGCAAATTCGATCTCTAGCACTTTCGCGGTTTCTTTTCGAGAGCGTTTGTGACAATATGTTTCCAAATACATAGACACCGTTATTATAATTATTTCATTCCTCGGGCGTGTGTATTATAATTATAGCGATTTTATTCGTTAATAAATATATCGGTGATCCAGTCTCTACCAGCCACGTCGTTAATTTCATCGATCCATCTTTGTTTTGGTCTACCTCTATATCTTTTGTGTCGAAGTCCTTTCCAAGTAGTCACTTTATATGTCCGTTTATTATTATTCATACGTAGTTCAAGCAACCGAAGTTCAAAAGTTGTGGTGAATGGCTACGAGTCGTCACCCTTTCTGTGCCCATCGTGGTGTCCCGCAGGGTTCGATCCTTGGCCCTGTGTTCTTCAATATTTTCATCAACGATATCTATAACCGTTTTAACAACTATAAAAGCTATTTGTTCGCTGATGATCTTAATATTTTAAAGCACATTTCTACGCCCGACGATGTAGTTCTTCTTCAAAAGGATCTTGACAATCTGGTTGAGTGGTGCGATGAAAATGGCATGTCTCTTAATACGAAGAAATGTTTTGTGGTTCACTTTACACGCAGTAAAAAAAATATTTAATAGAGAATATGTCTTAAAAATTAATAAACTTGCAAGCGTGGATTATATTCGTGATTTGAGAGTTATTGTGGATGCAGGATTGCGCTTTAACAAACAAATTGATGACATGGTGGCTAAGGCTTACCGAACGCTTGGTTTCGTTTTAGCAAACTTAAAGGAATTCAAAAGTCCACAAACTAAAATAACACTTTATAACGCACTTGTACGAAGTGGATTGGAATATTGTAGTGTGGTGTGGAATCCACACTATGATGTGTATGTTAAAAAGATAGAGCGCGTCCAAAAAAGGTTTTTATGGCATCTTTCTTACAACCTCAATCTTGCTTCCACACTGCGAAGATAGCTACGATACTTTAAAATGGACTCATTAAGCGATCGCCGATTTATTTTGGATAATGTTTTCTTGTATAAGCTCGTTAAAGGTATTATGGACTGTCCCGATTTGCTCCCAAGAGTATATTTTAATCTTCTCAGCATTATGAGGTCCACTGCTGGACATATGCCTCTTGCATGACTCTCCAAGAAGTTCTTGATGCGGCGGTTCTGGTCCAGGTCGGCCCTGCCGTCTTTTTAATGTCGTCCGACCATCGGGCAGGTGGTCTGCAGGCACTTCTGCTTCCTGTGCGAGGTCTCCAAAGTAGGGTTCTGTACGACCACCTGTTGTCGTCTCTTCGAGATACATGACCAACCCATTGCCATTTAAGTCGAGCAACCCGTTTACCTATGTCGGTAACTCGGGTGCGTTGGCGAATGTCTTCGTTTCGTATTCTGTCCCTCAAAGAGACGCCAAGCATTGCACGTTCCATTGCCCTTTGCGCTACTTTCAGGCGGTGGAGTATCCCGACAGTCAGCGTCCACGTCTCACAAGCATACGTCATTACTGGGAGAACGCATTGATTATAGATACGATGTAGATGGGCTGGACCATTGTACGTATAAAATACGTACAATGGTCCAGCCCATCTACATTTAAGTTTTTTACAGTGGTGCAAAGCGTCAATAACATTTGTTGTTTTTCTTATATCATTATTTCTCTTTCTGTCTTGTATTTATTTAGCATAATTCTTTCCAATGACCTTTGACATACGTGTATCTTAATTTTTATGTATATATCCAAGTTTGACATCCATAGGTCATACTTGGCAATAAACATGAATCCACCCCTTTTTTCTTGAGTTTTACAGGAAGGTTTGATTTCAGAATTTCGTGGTCACTCCAGAACTTATGGCATGTGATGTTTATTCGCCTATTTACTTCATCTTGATATCTGGTCGTTGACAATGATATTTACTTGCCCAGATATACATCATACTCTAATACCGCCAGTATAAAATAAATCATGGCATAATGGTGTATGTCATGATGTTAAGATATGTGTTTACGCCGTGCGGCGATAGATGGCACTGTACGCTTGTGACTCGCGCTATCCTCTTGTTGCGTATCATTATATATAGATGCCGTTAGACTTGAATAAATCTCTTCTTCGGAGTTTTTCCACTAGATCAATATATTAGTTTTATTTCGTTCCGTAAACATTTGGTCTAAATCGAGCCAGATTATTAGAATCGCCGCGTCATACGGGTAGTTGAGTTGTGCTTGGATCGTTAAAAGTTAATAACAGTGAAGTGATAAAAGTTCATGGCCTTTTAAGTGTTGTGTTTTGTGTTACCTGGATTTATCATTTGGATTGGTAACCGTAAGTTATAGTAATAAGAAATAAATAGTGCACAAAGAATACATAATTAATAAAGGTAGTTCAATAATAACATACAAAATGGAGTCACTTGAGCAGTCACAGTCGGATTGTTTCAAGCAAATACAGAAACTGGGTACAAACTATAAGAAAACCGCAAAAGATAAACTCACACCGGGTTATGTAGAAACTAGATTAGAAGTATTAGAGTCGTATTGGCGTGACTTTCAATCAAATCATAAATCCTTACTCGCAGCAACCGTAGAACAGAGAAAAACTTTAGCATATTTTACTAACGAGGAATATGATACCTGCCTAAGCTATTACTTGGAAATTAAGACTAAAATGCGAGATACATTAATCAATAAGTCTTCTCCTGTTGTAAGTAATAACCAGCAGTTAGATTGCGATAGTCAACCAACAGTTAGTACTAGATTACCTGCTATACAAATACCCACATTTTCTGGAAATTATAGAGATTGGCTTTCATTTCATGATATCTTCAAGTCCCTTGTCCATGATAACAATAACATTTCTGTAGTAAACAAGTGCCAGTATTTAAAAACAAGTCTGAGAGGAGATGCTGAGAATTTAGTAAAAATGATACAAGTGTCTGAATCAAATTATGATATAATTTGGGATATGCTCAAAAAACGTTACAATAATAAACGTAGTATCGTTAACACTTATATTGGCAAAATGTTAAATCAAAGAAAAATTCATACTGAATCTGCAAAATGTATTAGAGAACTACTAGATGTCACTACGGAATGTTTAGCTACTTTGAAAGGATTACAGTTACCTACAGATGAATGGGATGATTTAGTTGTGTATATTATTATACAAAAGCTCGATACTGAATCACACAAATTATTTGAGCAAAAGTTGGAGTCTGTATCGAAACTACCCACGTGGAATGAGTTAGCTCAATTTTTAGAACACAGATTTCATACATTAGAATCAGTCAAGTCTAGACAAGATCCAAGTCACTCACCGCCTGTAAAACATGTTACATCAAAAATTTTTGTTACTGAAGTCAGTCGAGACGTTGTGTACACAAAGTGCGTTTATTGTAATGGGGATCACTCGATATTTAAATGCAAAGACTTTTCTAATTTGGACTTACAAGCAAGAAAAGATTTTGTTCAAGCTAATCAGATTTGTTTCAACTGTATGAGAAAGGGTCACCCAGTCAAGTCGTGTTTACAGTCCACTGCATGCAAAAGGTGTGGCCGAAAGCATCACACCCTATTGCACGGGTTTACAGTTCCAAATTCTAGAAAGGAAAGTGTACCAACAACAAACCATAATGAGACAAATTCTACTTCGGTGATGACAAGTACTTCCGAGTTATCAAGCAATACTGTAGAAAGCTCCAACCCCAACTCAGTCATTCTTGCGACTGCATTAGTAAATATTAGATCCGAGAAACTACAAACAACCCATACGCTCCGCGCATTAGTAGATCAGGGCTCCCAAACTTGCCTCATTACCGAAGCTGCATGTCAAGTCCTAGGCCTTAAACGAGACCCTATTAAAGGAAATATATCAGGCGTAGGCTCAGTCAAATCCATTACTAAAGCTAGAGTAAATTTCGAGATTAGTCCTAGAAATAATTTACAGATAAAAGTTAGAATAACAGCATTTGTTATGAAATCATTAACATCATACTTACCACAAGGATCACACGCCATTGATTGGCCGGAGATGAGAACGTTACACTTAGCAGATCCTACTTTCGAGAGTCCAGGCAAGATTGATTTATTACTAGGTGCAGATGTCTTTGCCGAGATAATACAACAAGGCATTCTGACACACAAATGCGAAACACACAATCTTGTTGCACAGAGAACATTATTAGGCTGGATTATATCTGGCAAACACGAATCGAGCAATACTATTCACTCTGAGGCATCCATTCTTCATGTTAGGGTGGAATTGGATAGTCTTCTTCGTAGTTTCTGGGAGATTGAGGAGGCAGCAGAGAAACGCATACTGACTAACCTTGAACTTAAATGCGAAAAACATTATAAGCTAACACACCAAAGGATGAAAAATGGACGTTATTCAGTTCGCTTACCCTTTCTTTCCACTCCTCCGGATATTGGTGAATCACTCAATATAGCCAAGAGACGATTTAATGCTTTAGAAAATAAACTTAGACGCGATACAAACCTATAAAAGAAATACACTAATTTCATGGAAGATTACATACAACAAAATCATATGGAGAAAATACCAGCTGTCGAGATTCAGAAAAAACCGAATGAGGTCTGTTACATTCCACACCATGCTGTTATAAATAATGAGCATCTAACAACAAAGTTAAGGGTAGTGTTTGACAGCTCAGCCAATACTAGTAACGGCAAGTCGCTCAATAACAATTTGATGCCTGGGCCCGCTCTACAAAATGACATCCGAAACGTTACCTTGAGATGGCGTAGACATAAAATAGTTTTAATAGGAGATATTCGCCAACATTACAGACAAATAAGTTTAGACCCTAGAGATAGAGATTACCTAAGAATCCTTTGGAGACCTAGCAGTAATGTTCCTATAGAACACTATAGATTAACAACTGTCACATATGGAACTTCTTGTGCACCATATCAAGCTATAAGGACACTTAAACAATTAGCTGAAGATGAAAAGGAGAACTTTGATGATGACATCATAGACACTTTGTTGCAAGATTTTTTCATTGATGACTTGCTTGGAGGAAGTGAGTCTTCTGAGAAAGCTGCTGACCTGAAACAAAAAATAACACAGTTATTAAGTAAAGGGGGATTTCCACTACACAAATGGACATCAAACAGTTCAGAAATTCCAGGTGCAGAGCAGTCAAATCGTAAAATATTAGGCATAAACTGGAATGGATTTACAGACACATTTGAGCTACAGATAGTCCTGCCTTTATCAAGTGAAATTACAAAAAGAACAATCTTACGAGATATAGCTACCATTTATGATCCTGCCGGTTGGTTAGCACCTGTAGTAATAGTCGCAAAGCACATGCTTCAAAGATTGTGGTTAGAAAAGATTGATTGGGACGAGCGGTTATCTGATTCAATTTTACATGACTGGATAATTTTTAAAAGACAATTAGGAGAAATGCCAATTATAAAAATTCAAAGATGGTTAGGTATAGCAGAAGAGACGACGGAAATAGAGTTGCATGGATTTTCTGATGCATCGAGTATAGCTTACTCTGCTGTGGTTTACTGTAGAGTAATTAATCAAAACAGCACTAATGTAACAATTGTGGAGGCTAAGACTAAGGTTGCACCAGTAAGACAAGTTTCACTCCCAAGACTGGAGCTATGTGGAGCTCTATTGTTGGCCAAACTGTTGCATCGAGTACAAACTGCATTGAACATTCCTAATCGTCAAATCTTTGCATGGACTGATGCTACTATAGTCCTAGCATGGCTGCAGAAGTCGCCGAGCTATTGATGTACGTTTGTTGCAAACAGAGTAACTGAGATTACTAACCTGGTTGAGAGGAGTAGATGGTACCACGTCGCGTCGGAGGAAAATCCTGCGGATGTAGCGTCGAGAGGTATCTCGCCGCTAGAGCTTCCAGCGCATCGGCTGTGGTGGCAAGGACCTACCTGGTTGAAAGAGACAGGCCCCTTTGCCCGTCACTCCTTCTTCTGTCGTTGAACCTACGGATTTGGAAAGAAAAATATTAGTAAATGTGTCAGTGAATGATGGATTTAATGTAGTGAATAAAAAAAATCAATATTAGTGAAAGTGCATTATCTCAAGATTTGTTATGTAGATACTCTAATTTAACCAAGCTCATTCGTGTTGTGTGTAGAATGTTACGATTTATTAATTGTTTAAAAAATAAGCGTAAAACAAAATATAATTTAACTTACCCTAGTTGGCTCACAACTAATGAATTGAATATAGCAATGAATACTTTGTTATACATATCACAGTCAAATACCTTTACAGATGAGATTAAATTACTTAAAGATACTCATATAAATAAATTTAAAATGTTGAATAAGTTACAAAATGGCAAGAGAATAATTAAATTAAATCCTTACCTTGATGAGAATTGTTTATTACGAGTAGGAGGCAGACTTCATTACTCCACTCTGCGTAGTGAGATGAAGCATCCTTACATTTTGGTTAAAGATAATCTATCAAATCTCATTGTTCTAGATGCACATTACAAAACTTTGCATGGGGGGGTACAATTAATGTTAAATTATATCAGATCCAAATTTTATATTATAGGGGTTAAATATATAATAAAAACAATAATTCATAAGTGTATAATATGTACAAAAAATAGAGCTGACTTGAGTTCACAGCAAATGGGTAACTTACCTAGAGAACGTGTCAATCCTCAACGGCCATTTAGTGTGACTGGAGTGGACTTTGCAGGTCCTGTAATTCTTAAATTATTTAACGGTCGAGGATCTAACAGAACTCAAAAGGCTTATATTGCAGTTTTCATTTGCACCGCAATCAAAGCTGTGCACCTTGAATTAGTTACTAGTTTAAGTACTGAAGGTTTTGTGGCCGCTTTCAGGCGTTTTGTATCTCGTAGAGGTCATTGTACTAAATTGATAAGTGATTGTGGTACAAATTTTATAGGAGCTAGTAAAGAGCTCAAACAAATGTTTTTAGACTGTAAAAAGGACTTACCTGTAGAAATAGCTGATTTACTCGCTCGAGATGGAACTGAATGGCAATTTAATCCTGCTGGAGCACCTCATATGGGAGGTTTATGGGAGTCCGCTGTGAAATCAGTTAAGTTCCACCTCAATCGAGTACTAGGCGAAAGTAAACTTACGTATGAAGAATATTCAACATTATTATGCCAGATAGAGAGTTGCTTGAATTCCCGTCCATTAACACCCATCGACGCCAACACAGATGACAGTTTAGATGTTTTAACATCGAGTCATTTTCTTATCGGCGAATCTTCCTTGGTCGTACCCGATCAAGATCTTAATAATGTCAATGTACCATATACAAAAAGATGGATTTATCTTCAGCAAAAAATGCAGTCATTTTGGCGTAAATGGAGCAGTGATTATTTAGTTACTTTAAACAAACGGCAAAAATGGTCTGGAACTCAATCTAACATAAATATAGGTACGATTGTAATTGTTAAAGACGAAAGGTTACCAGCTTCTAAATGGTTAATAGCTAAAGTTATAGATATACATCCTGGTAGCGATGGTTTGGTTCGAGTCGTTACGCTTAAGTGTAAGAATTCTGTAATTAAAAGACCAATTCATAAACTTTGCGTCCTCCCAATTGAGAATGATTAATTTTATTTGGTTTGTTTATTTTAGATTTATATACACTTCAACATGTGTTTCATAATATTATAGATTTTTGTGTTATATTCTGCTAAACTTATTAAAGGACTAGTCGTCCTTTGGGGGGCGAAATGTTAAGATATGTGTTTACGCCGTGCGGCGATAGATGGCACTGTACGCTTGTGACTCGCGCTATCCTCTTGTTGCGTATCATTATATATAGATGCCGTTAGACTTGAATAAATCTCTTCTTCGGAGTTTTTCCACTAGATCAATATATTAGTTTTATTTCGTTCCGTAAACACATGATATGTTACACTGTTCAGTGGCAATTCTGTGTCCTTGAGTTTTTCGATACGCAATGCCCTGTTATAGTGCCCAGCATTACTCGGAGATCAGTTCGGTTAAGATTTAGTAGTTTTCTAGTTAGTCTTGGGTTGAGGCTAGGGAAGATGGCCTTAGATTGCCAGCAGCCATCGGTATTGGCCCAGCGGGTGTTGTGGCTCTGTGTGGTTTGTTGGCGCACCCATGTACGAATTTGGTACACACACGACTGACTATACAATCAAATAATATTAAATACGTAAACTATTTCGCTGACACGGAAACATGTGCGGTAATTGGACCGCACAGAAGTCTTCTTTTATTTAATAAGTGGTCGATTACAGCTTTTTCTTGTTTTTCTGTATTTGTATTTTTAATTCCATAGTTAGTTATTACAATAGGTCTGGCTCTCTCACCTATTTTATTTGAAATTCAGGTACCATTCCGTACAGTTTTCAGACGTAATTCTGCGATTCCATACTGATTTATGTTCGACAAATTATTATAGACAGAATTTCTACTTTACTAGAGTAACTCAAATTTTATTATTCAAGTGATATAGACGTGTTTCTGGGAGACAAAATAACTTCAAAAACATTGTGAAATTTTATAATAATAATGAAACTTAATTTAAATTATCATCATTTTCTCTGTCGGTATGACTTTATGCTTTGTTTTATATCCCTGTGTTTTTTTTTGTTTTTATTAAATCTGCGGCCTTGTGAGTGGACTGAATAAAGTACATTTTGTTTGATTGTAAATGAGAAAACTGTGTAAGGCTTATCAATGCTACATCATTTCGTTTTATCCTTTGTTTTAACATGCCGTTTGTTTATAAAAAGTCGTCATAATAATATATCAAACGTTTTGCAGGACATCAAGCTACTGCACAGTCCTCTTTTGGGTTGCATAATGGCGATCTTTCACGCATTGTGGAAGAACAATATGCAGATACTCGTGAAAAAACTAAGGGAGAATCCCAAATTTTGGGAGTACATGACCATTCCGCTGTTCAACGAGATCCAGCCGGGCCTGCGGACATACTCTCAAATATTCAACGTCCTCGGCATAGAGCTGTTCGCGGCGAGGGAGAAGCTCGAGCCGAACCTCCGAGAGGTTCTCGAAAAGTTCTTCGATCCCCACAACGAGCACCTCGACAACTGGATAGAGTTCATATTCGCGTTCCACGGGCGCGGGGAGGAGGACGAGCCCGTCGACAAGGTGCCCGTGTGGCTCGGGCTGCTCACCTCGTGGAAGGACTTCGCGACCATCTTCTGCAAGTGCTCGCCGATCGGGTTGAACATCGCGCACAAGTCGAAGATGGTCGCGCCGTGCACCGCCGCGCTGCTGAGCGAGGTGGAGGCGGGGCGCGACGGGCGCGCGGCCGCCATGCTGGCCGAGCTGCACGCCACCATGCTGGCCGGCTGGCGCCACGACTGCTTCGACGACCGCCGCCTCGGGGCGCGCCAGGCCGACGCGCTGCTGCGGGCCGCGCGCGCCGCGCATCCGGCGCTGCATCCGCGCGCGCTGCGGGCGCTGCTCGCCGTGTGCACCGCCGCGCTCGCCGCGCTGCACTACGAGATCAACGCCGACGCCGCGCTCGCGCACTCCGCCGTCACCGCCGTCGCCGACCTCGCCGCGCTCGAGCTCGACCGGCTCGCGCTCGACGCCGACGCCGACGCCGACCCCGGCCCCGAAACGGGCGCGTCGAGCGCGGTGCTCGCGCTGGCGATGCTCGAGCAGGCGCTGGAGCTGTACGAGGAGACGTTCGCGCGGCTGGCGGCGTGGTTCGACACGCGGCGGCTGGTGAGCGCGCTGGTGCGGAGCGCCGGCGCTACGCTGGCGCGGCGACGCTGGCCCGAGGCGGGCGCGGCGCTGCGCTGCCTGACGGCGGCGGCGCGCGGGCCCCGCGCCATAGCCGCGCTGCTGCTGGCCGCCGACCTGCCGCACTGCCTGTGGCTGGCGCTGCTGCCGCCGCTGCCGGTGCCGCTGTACGCGTCGGCGCTGCGGCTGGTGGCGGCGGCGCTGCGCGCGCACGGGGCCGTGTTCGCGGCCGACGCGGTGCAGTTCGCGGGCGTGCACGCGGACGCGCTGGTGGAGGCGCTGCAGCTGCAGCCGACCGCGGACGCGCCCGCGCTGGCGCTCGCGGCCGCTGCGCTAGACCTCGTGCTCCAACTGCTCGAGCACGAGGCGCGCTGGCGCATGGACAACTACAACTCTCTCATCCTCATCACGGTGAGTCGAATGCCGTTGTTTTATTTCTTTGATTTTAAAGAATATTTAGTGTAATATTATATATGTGTATGCAGCGCAGCGTGAGCGCGTGCCTGTGCCAGTGCGTGGGGTTAGCGCTGCGCGCGCGGCGCGGAGGGGAGGCGGCGTGCGCGGACGACTCGCTGTCCGCTCTCACCGGCCCCGGCCCCGGCCCCGCGACCGACGCGCACTCTCCGTCGCTGCTACACAGGTAACGTACTAGATTAAGTTTGAACGCCGGTAAAACCTCTAACTGTGATAGTAAAACATGTGGTATCTTTGAATTTTTTGCAGATATTGATGTCCTCTATGAAACTGTAGTACGTCGATTTGCTCCATTGTCAATGACTTCCGCAGCGTGCGCGATATAGGTCGGGTTACATTATCGAAGTTTTCATATGGAACCCTAACTTTTTTGAAAATAAATCTATAGCCTAAGTTCATCACGGATAATGAAGGACTTTAAACGTGAAAGAATTCTTCGAACCGGTCGAGTTGATTCGAAACCTGTTCGATACAAACAAACGGTCAAATGTTTCCTCTTTGTAGTTTACTAGTGGCCGGTCCTCGCTTTGGCTTCGATGTAGATCTGTAATGTAGACTATAATTTTTGTTCAAAGGCTTGTATTATACACATTGACTTTCTTCATAATATTTATAAACCTTCCATTCCAAGTAAAAAATTCGTTGCGTAGTTGAGAACCCGTTGTACCGAATGCAACATTGCTCTGCTGTTCCGTTTTGAAAAAATATTTTTGTATTGGACAGTGCATTTATCGAGAAAGGCTATAAGCTATATATTACCAGGCTTCGACCAGTAGCAGCGGAGCATCGATGAAAAATGTTGCAAAAATGGGTAACATTATTCCATTTGTGAGATTCCGTGGCGTGCGCTGGGTAAACAATGCAATTATCACAATCAAAAATAAGCATATAAATAGTAGATTATTAACCAAGGGGATAAAGCAGTGTGTTTACGCCAATAAACCCCAAATGCATGTTAGTAGGTGAAAGTGTTGTTGTCAACGGTCACTAGATGGCGCCATCATTTTGCATAGTGTGATGTCTGAATGGCGATGTTAAGATTCTTACTCGATTATATAAGCCTTAGAAAATAAGGTTTCTTTTCGAATACATTTATTCCTTTGAATTTGAACGGTGGTTTATTTTTATCATACTTGCACCTTTCAAAGATTTTTTGGGATTTAAACAAGGTCCCTCAGAGCCGGAGTGGCTATCTTGAGAGCGTTGTTAAAGTCCAATTTCGCACCGACGCGGCGGCGGATTGCTGTCTATGGTGTTTTTCCTGGAGTACAAGCCAGGCTTTTCAGAAACCAACACTGGAATTCGGAATAAGAATAACAATACCTACTGGACGAGGAAGAACACAATTTGATGAACTGACAATAGACGGCGCCACTATACTATTGGAACAAATTGGCGGCAAATTTAAAAATTTGGATTTGAGGTGAAGTGACAGTGACAATTGTAAGTACTTTGAACCTTATTTACATAGAACAAGTAACTTAGTGCAAATTAAGAAGATCGTTAATAGAGGAATTTGAACTTTAAACTCAAGAAAAATAATACTTAGCAGTTTTAGAGGATCTTAAGGACTTAGAATAATTTGTTGTTATTTAGCTTGTAGACTTAGAATAGTTTTCTTTAAAAGTAACTGACGGGGAATCCATGCCCGATTTTTAATCGAAGTGTATAAACTTCAAACACTTAGAAAAATTTTAGCGATTTTCTATAGATGTTTCTTTTGTCTGCTTAAGTAGTTAGAATTGTAGATATTTGCTTGTAGTTGGTGTTGTTGTAAACATTTAAGTAAGTTGTTGCTTTATATTAAGTTATCTGTTTGTTTGGGTCTTCATAGTATTTAAATCTAATCAAAATGGAATCATTAATTAAATTACAAAATGATTGTAAATCAACTATTTCTAAAGCCCAAGTTAACTTTAAAAAAGCTAGCAAGGATCGCATCACGGTCCCTTATGTAGAAACTCGTTTGGAGGCTCTAGAACAGCAATGGAAAAGCTTTTGCGATATTCATCGTCAACTAATATCCGATCATGTCAGTACTGAATTGCAGAGTTCACAATATTGTACCGATAAAATTTATGATAAAACTGAAGAGATATATTTCGATTATAAGGTTTTATTAAAAGAATGTTTACATAAACTTTTAAGTGGTAGTCGTAATGCGGAAACTGCCAAGGCAGTTGAGATTCCTAAGTCTGATAAATCCTCTCACGTTAAATTACCAAGGATCTCAATTCCTACGTTTTCTGGACTTTATATAGAATGGGCTTCTTTCAGAGACTTGTTTATCTCACTTATCCACAAGAATGATTCATTGGATGAAGTACAAAAACTTCACTATTTAAAAAGCCATTTGACAGGTGAAGCAGAAAGTCTTTTACGTCATGTACCAATCACTTCTGCCAACTATCAAACTTGTTGGAATCAATTAAAACATAGATATGATAATAAAAAGTTTTTATCTGATAATATATTAAAGCGGTTTATGGGCATTAAGCCACTACAAGTTGAGTCATCTATTGCTATTAAATCTATGTTAGACACTACCAATGAATGCTTACATGCTCTTAATTCACTTGGAATCAATACTAGCACATGGGATGTCATTGTAATCCATATCATTAGTCAAAAATTAGATACAGAGTCCAGAAAATTGTGGGAAGCAAGGGCAAACGAATCGTTTGACAAGTTGCCTACTCTTGACATGTTCAATGATTTTATGGAGCATAGATTCCGGTCCCTTGAATTTTTAACGCCCAGAGCAGGTAAGCCTGTTGCAGGTCGTACTACCACATCCAATAATATAACGCAGGTTCATACGTCACTTCATACAACTACACTGTCATGTCCATTTTGTAACGAAACCCACAGCCTTTGTAACTCTAAAGCGTTCGCGAAATCGGAGTTAGAAGAACGTAGAGAGTTTGTTCAACAAAATAGGTTATGTTATAATTGTTTAGGGTCAAATCACTCAGTATACTCTTGTCGCCAACTCTCAAGATGTCGAATATGTAAAAAGAAGCACCATTCCCTACTTCATTCCAAAAATAATCCTAATGATACTTCTACAAGAAATAAAGTAGGGCAGGATGATAAAAATGTTTTAGTTTCGATAGCAACCACCGAGCCTCAACAAGCACAGGAATCACTAGACTGTCCGAAAGTAGTTTCTCATTTTTCTAAATCATCGAATCAAGTTTTGTTAGCCACCACATTGGTAAGGGTGACTACAAAATCAGGAAAGGAAGAAACGTTAAGGTGTTTGTTGGACCAAGGTTCGCAGGCGTCTTTTATTACAGAAGGAACGGTACAAGCACTAGGGCTCAAGAAAGTTCCTAGTAAAGTTGTCATTTCAGGGATTGGTAGTGGCTCAGATAGTGATGTGTCTGTCGCATCGAAATCTGAAGTTTACGTTAACATTCAGTCACTACATAACCCCAATACTGTGATCAAGGTCAAGGCTCATGTCTTAAGTAAATTAACCACTGTGATTCCTACAAGAAGGGTCACTTATAAACCGTGGCCAGTCTTATCTGAAATAAAATTAGCTGACCCCCAGTTTTACATCCCGAGCAGAATTGACATGTTGCTGGGAGCAGAAGTATACGGCCAGATTTTGGATGATGGTGTACTCAAAGGTCCTCCGGGTTACCCTATGTTAGCCCAAAACACCAAACTCGGATGGATTTTATCTGGTCAGATTCTTCCAGAATCTTTAGCTGATTCCACAACGTGTCATAACATCGTTAGTATGCACGCTCAAATTAACGAAAACGATATTTTGCGCAAGTTTTGGGAACTAGAGGCACCCCCCCACTGAAAAGGAAAAGATTTTCACAGAAGAGGAAACTTTATGTGAAGAATATTTCAAAAAAACTACACGTAGAGACGAAACTGGACGATATATCGTTAGACTTCCATTTCATACTGATAATCCGCAGTGTAAATACGGAAATTTTAAGAATATCGCGGAAAGAAGACTAGGAATGCTGGAGAGAAGATTTGTAAGAGATCCAACATTTAAGAAGAGGTATTCGGAAGTCATTTCTGAGTATCTAGAACTTGACCATATGCAGCAAGTGCCTTTACAAGAACTTGACGTTGACTCAGTATATTTGCCTCATCACGCCGTTATTAGAGAGGACAAATCTACTTCAAAATTGAGGATAGTGTTTGATGCGTCATGTCCCGGAAGCAACGGAATTTCACTAAATAGTGAGTTGATGGTAGGGCCAACATTACAGGCAGATCTTCGTCATATAATTATGCAGTGGCGTATTCATCCCATTTGTCTCACAGCAGATATTATTAAAATGTACCGCCAAGTTAAAGTATGCGATCTTGATGCTAATTTCCAACGAATACTCTGGCGAAATGAGTCGGAATTGCAGATTCTAAAGATTGATCGGGTTACTTTCGGCACCGCTTCAGCACCCTATTTAGCAGTTAAGGCTCTACAACAGCTCGCCGAAGATGAAGGTACAGCATATCCTTTAGCAGCTCAGAGAGTTGTCAATCATTTTTATATTGATGATTTTATGAGTGGTTGTCAAACAATCTCTGAAGGCATTCAAGTGTATGGCGAGATGAATGAATTGCTAAAAAAGGGCGGTTTTGAGCTCCAAAAATGGTCGAGTAACAGCGAAGAATTGTTGAAAAAGATAGGAAAGAATAGTGGAGGAAGTGAAAGAAAATTAGAAATAAAAACTAGTAATGATAATAAGACACAAAAGGTTCTTGGTTTGATTTGGAATAACGGTACAGATTTTTTTGAATATTCAGTCAAGTTGCCTGATATAAGTTTTCCGGTAACCAAAAGAAAGGTGGTTTCGGATATATCACGCTTGTTCGATCCTTTAGGTCGGATCGCTCCAATGATCATAACATCCAAGGTTCTTATACAGAAACTATGGATATCAGGAATCGATTGGGACCAAGAATTACCACCAAATTTGTTGAAAGAGTGGCTAGAGTACCGAAGTAATCTCTCGTTAATTTCTTTTTTTCGCATTCCACGCTGGATTCAAGCGCGACACGATGCGTCATGCATAGAATTACATGGATTCTGTGATGCATCCGTTGTAGCATATGCGGCTGTAGTATTTTTAAGGGTGATTGATCACGAAGGCAGTATCCATGTAAATCTCATAACCTCAAAGACAAAGG